CTCTCTCTCTCTCTCTCTCTCTCTCTCTCTCAGTCTCCTCTCACTAACTCTTTGTCTTTCTCTTATTCTCTTTCTCTGTCTCTCTTACGCTGTCTCTGTCTGCTTTTCTTTCTCCTCTTTCTCCTCTCGGCCTTTCTCTTTTTCCTCTCTCTCTCTCCCTACCTCTCTCTCTGTTTCTCTCTCTCTCCCTCTGTCTCACTCACTATCCTCTTGCTAGCTCTTTGTCTTTCTCTTCTCTTTCTCCGTCTCTCTCTTCTTCTCTCTCTGCTTCCCTCTCCCCTTTCTCTTCTCGTTCTTTCTTTTCCTTCTCCCTCTCTTCTCTCTCGCTCTCTTACTTCCTCTCTCTCTCTCTGTCTGTCTGTATCTCTTTCTCTCTTTCTTTCTTTCTTTCTTTCTTTCTTTCTATTTCTGTTGTTCTTTTTTCTCCGCTCTCTTTCTCTTTATTTCTAGTTCTTTCTCTTTCCCTTGTTCTTTTTTGCCTCTCTTTTTCCACTTCTCTCTCTTTTTTCTCTTTCTTACTTTCTGCTTTTCCTTCTATTTCTTCTCTCTCTCTCTCTCTCTCTCTCTCTCTCTCTCTCTCTCTTTCTCTGTCTCTCTCTCTCTCTCTCTCTCTGTAGGGTAATAAATTAGACTCTCTCTCTCTGCTCTTGTACATACTCTGTGGAGGTGACTCTACCGAGAGGTCAGCAGGAAGTGCTCCCTCATGTCAGTAATTCTGTCAGTTCTGTTCATGAAATGCTGAAATCAGCATGCGCTTCATCTACAACACTGTAAAAGCACAAAAAACTAAAAGAGGCATAAACAGAGTTTTAGATGTCATTTTTCATGTTATGTGTAGCGCAGTGGTCACCAATAAAATCGTTCCACACGGCTCCGTTTTTCCACTGTTTTTCTGCTGCTGCTCAGACTGTTTGAACATGTCTGCCCTGTTCTAATCACTGTTTTTCATATTTCTGCATTATCTTCGAATATTTTGTTAAGCAATAGATTTTCTCATCATTATAAGCCAATATACATACATACATATATACATCGCTGCTGTTGGAACAAAACCTTGTATTTCCATTTTTGTTGTTTTTCAGTTTTTGTCATCTTTTGAAAATGTCTGTTGCCCTTTATCTCGTGTGTAAATTTCATGTTGAATGGACCAAAAGAAACGGCCAGAAATAACTTGGAAGAAAGGTCTGGTTCCATTGACTTACATTCAAAGTAAAGTATGTTTGTTCCATCTCCTTGTTCTGACAACAGCGAAATATATATATATATATATATATATATATATATATATATAAATACATATAAGGCTGAAAAAAGTATGCATATAATGTTTTATATATACCATTTATGTGTATGTGCATTTGCATGTGCATCCTGAGTAGTTAGTGTACAGAGCAAGTGACAAAAAAAGAAAAAAATGCATGGAATCTATCTTAACTGCTCAACTGTGCCCAGAAATCAGATTTTAATCAGATTCTACACCAAATGTAAATGTTGCTTGAATTTGATTAGATAAAGCTGCCATTCAGGCTGCCAGATTTGATCTGTCTGAAAGCCTTAAGCAGGACGTATACTACACGACTCTAAACGGAGAGCATTACAGTCTTTCACAAAATTTCTTGTCTTTTTGCTGTCAGGGTGCACACACTAGACAAAAAACAAAAAAGGTTTTAGCTACAGAAAATCACTTTTTACATCATCTCATTACACCGTACAAACAGAGCTAAACTGGGCCGGACCTGTTCATGTTTTATGCGTAGGCAGAATGCAAACTGAGGGTGAATATGTGGATGAGAAACACTACAGTATCACAGTGAGAGCTGGAGAATCTCACTACATACTGGCAGCTGACATCAAACTGTAAAGTATACCTGTTACAGTCCATACATTCTAAAGAGTATAAAGGCCTTATTTGTCAGAGTTCAACAAGCAGCTCCTCTGTCTCCGCAGGCTGCTGTATGAAAAGCCTGCATATACATCTCATCACCTTTTTTTCTCCACTCTCCTAGCTCTCTCATTGGCTGTTACCTGAATTACTCGTTCAGTTACATCGCTAGACAGTCACACTAGTCACACTGACTGCTTATAGATGCAAAACTCAAACATGTTTGAAAATAGAAGACCAGAAGACTAAAGACTGCCTCTTTGCCTCTTTGGAAAATTGCTTCAGATTGCAAAAATGTGTCAGAAGGGGTTAATCAGGGTTAAAATCTGGCTAAAAATCAGTAAAGTAGGCCCAACTTTACTAACATGAAGAGCCCTCAAGGCTCAAAGATCAAATCTGAGTGAACGTAGTCTCCTAAGATCTTAAGCACCACATTGTAATTCTCCATGAGCCCAGAGAAGAGCCGGGGTCTTCCTCCAGACCTCCTCCTCCTCTCAGCGGCCCGTGGACAGCTTTGTCCGAGAGCGCTGACAGGCCCCAGCTCAGCACCGCTTTTTAAAGAGATTATCTACAAGACAAATGTTAGCACCGCTAGCTTAGCGCTAGTGCCGCTAGCTTAGCACTGACAAGCGAGGGGTTTCTCCGGATGTGGCCTGCTGTGACATTCTCAGTGACAGCAGCAGTGTGGCAATCCCTCTGCAGCTGGGAGGAGAGGCCATTTACTGGCTTAGCTAAATAACATCACGGCACGGATGTCATGGGTGACTCGCTAAGTTCCTAATAAGTCAGGGTTACAGCAGGTAAAGCCCCCAGACTTCTCCCAGACCTGTCAGTGTGATGTCAGAGAGGACCTGTCTTCTGCTTTTGGAGGATCATGGTCTTCAGCTGTTTGATATGATTCTGTTAACCTTTCATCTACTTTCATAAGCTGCGGTTACTGTATTCTGTATACCGTCAGATGCAAAACTATTACACTAACATTGTAATATTTTATTTTTAGTCATTTCTGTTGGTCCATTCCTCATGAATAGTTTACACTGTGTGAAGGGCAGCTTGGTCCCACTGTATTTGGACAGCCTTCACACAGGCTAGGTTTAGGTTTATTAGATATGTACTTAAATGTAAGTTAAGAGCAATGTAAGTGTCTCTAATACATCTACACTGAGCTGTCCATGTTTAGAAATTATGTAAAGAACTACAAGTTTTAATGTGTGTAGTTCACTGTTAGAAATAAACGTTCTGTACATTTTTCATTCATCAAGATACAAACAATGTAAATGTTCCCTCAAAGGTACAACAGTAGTTTTAGAGTCCAGTTGTGAACCTTAAATAAGTTTTTAACAGGTGAAAAGTTTGTATTTGTAACTTTTCGTATCCTAAAGTTTTAAAACAGAGCGATAAAATAAAAGCCTGGAGACGCGATGGGGTGTATGAGATGTACCCTTGATACTCAGTGACAGATTCGTACCTTGTTTCTGAGAGTGAACAGCAAACCGATAAACAGTTTACATTTCTTTGCTTCATCCAGTGTTTTCTCTGTTTAAATTAGTGATGCACAGAAATGAAAATTCTTAGCTGAAACAAAAACTAAAATTCAGGTCATAGTAGGTCAAAAACCAAAACTGAAAGCCTAGAAAAGAAGCTCACTTTTTGTTCCCATTTTTATTTATGGTTTTGAATTAACCTCTAATGTAACAAGGAAAAAAGACCTCTGTTATCGATTAAGTCGGTCTTTTCAGTAGGACAAGGCTGAGCTGAAAATAAATAAAAACACTCAACATGCGCAACTCATGATTGCAGTACAAATCGATGTGCTTTGCGATCTCTGAGTGTAATGCTACGAGCATGGACCAAGTGTACCCAAACCTAACCTGTTTAAGATAAAGTCAGAACCCAGTTGTGCTTAAACTGAAGCGCTGACAGCTATATTTAACTAGACTAACTGGCTGATTAGCTAGCTGACAGGCTAAAAGATAGCTAACAGGCTAAAAGACAGCTAACAGGCTAAAAGATAGCTAACAGGCTAAAAGATAGCTAACAGGCTAAAAGACAGCTAACAGGCTAAAAGATAGCTAGCAGGCTAAAAGACAGATAACAGGCTAAACAACACCTCCATTAATATCACAGGCTCACATTAAACTATGTAAGGAACGGAGAGCTAATTGAGACTGTGGGATGTACAACATGTTAGCTTGGTGCTAAATAAGACTGGAAATTGCATAGATGTGCTAGCATTGTTTCAGTGGCAATTTAAGTAGCAAAAACTATAAACTATATATAAGTAGCAAAACAACTCATAAAGTGAAGGTTTTTGTATTAAACATAACTATTATTTTTATTATTATATGACAAAAAGTTAAAAAGTTCATGAAATGACTACAATATGCAACGATGGACGAATGTTCTTGTCCTCATTCACTCACTCTATGGTTGCTTGGCAACCATAAAGGAACTACTTTTCTTGGCGGAGTATTTGTTCATCTCAGGTATTACTATTAATAAAGTATTTATTGAAAAATTGTGGGGTTTTTTTTGCCATATTTATATTCTATATTCTACTCTTTTATAAAAGCAGTGAGCCAATTGAGGCCATGCATTACAGCATTTCATGGCTTATTGCTCTGTCTTTTTGGTCAATTTTCACCACATCCCTAATATAATTTATTTCCTTGTTACTTTGTCTGGCTTAAATTGGAAAAAGGAAAAACATATTCCTTAAAAGCAACATTATTATCCTTGGTCAGTAACACCGTTTCTGATTTTTTTCACAATGTCAGTTACATTTTTCTCACCTCTCATCTTTCATGCTTTTATTAGTATTGTTGATCTTACAATACATTGTGCTACTTATCAGTTCCTGTGCTCTGTGTTGATACTGTGTGAATATACTTACTCATTCAGATCTCATTAAATGTGCCAGTTTTGTGTGCCGTTCAACACCTCTGTGACACTGAACAGCAGCGTTTGGCTGTGACTGTAAGGCTTTCTTTCTTTGTTGTAGTGTGTGCTCTTTGGCACCGAGCCAGCGGTTCTCAGTAAGTGGACAAGCTGGTTGGCTCTTCCTTCCTGACCGCCCCTGCATTAACACTCCTGTTCTCTTTCTGTGTGTGTGCCGCAGGTCAACCTCCAGTCCCCGCCGAACAATGAGACGTATCAGCAGCGGTTGGAGAGATTAGAGGGGGATAAAGAGTCTCTGGTTCTGCAGGTGAGCTCCGCCCCCTTTGCCCCGGGCTCAGCACACCTCCACACAATAGCTTTACATGTCAACAGGAGGGGCCGAACACAGAACAAGCCCAGAGGTCAAACCAGGAGAGTATGAGGTGTCAGTGACCGATAGAGACAGAGGTTTAAAGATCTGACCTCATAATGATTTGATGGCGAATTTTAGGACACGATTCAGTGCATTAAGAAATCGCAAATACAAAATTAAAATTTTTTATAAATACATTGAATACACTGACAGACTGTTATTATAAAGGATTATCAAGTAGAATTTATTACAATATTCCAAAATCACTGAATCACCACCTTCAGATTGATCAGCGCATGTTAGTGGCATTTTTAAATGTTTTCAAAATCTCTTGAGCTTCTTTTGTGTAGTTATCTACAAAGCACTGTGCACAGCGCCTGTGGAGAGATTGACCCAAACTGAATATGAAAAAAGAGTTTCATATTTATTATTATATATGTCAGTAGGGGTGCACAAAGTACAATATGGCTGAGTAAAGGTAGAAATGAAGTGTTCCAAAATGTTTTATGTCCCCCAACAATTTTGGATATAATAGGTTTCTCAAAAGAATAACAATATAATGGAAAAACCTTTACTCCTCTAATCAAGATGGTATTAATCATAACATTGCATTATTGCTTATTGTGTATCTTTGCTGCCAAAAAAATTGTTTCTCCATTTTTGCTGATTTTTATTTTTCTACATCATTTGAACACACAGCTGTCATTTACACTGTGTGCAAATTTCATGATGCATGGACCAATAGAAATGCTCCAAAATGGCTTGGAATACAACATCTTTACATCAACTTGCATTAAAAGTTTGGACCATTTTTACCATCTCCTGTAAAGTTACTATTTTGGAGATATTTGTTTTTTTCTGGACAGTGATTATATTTCTTATATGTGTAAAGCCCACTCCAAACAGCGTACATCATGAAAAAGAGAACATGTTTGAAAGTGGTGTGTAATAAGTTTTGAAATAAAACCCTTGAAATACTCTTGGTAAAATATTACTTGAGTAAACGTACTCTGAGTATGAGTGAGTGTAAGTAAATATTATTGCAGATATATACAGTTACAGCTGTAATAACTGTAAGTACTTTTACTTTTGATACTTCACCAGGTACATTCAAGTACTTTTGTACTCACATAGGAGTATCAGTAAAATACTTTTGCATACAATATTGTATTTCTACTCACTTCTACTTTACTTAAGTACTGAAATGTTGTACTTTGTCCACTGCTCTATGTCAGTTGCGAAATGTTTATTGCTCGTCTCAAACACTGTCTCACGTATACCTACATTTCCCAACTAAGAAGTGCATCCTGCTTCTTTCGCCTCACGTTCAAAAAGGCCTCGTCCAAATGACCCCTTATTCTTCTAATAGACCCATGTGACACCTAGGTGGCCCGTCCTGTACGCTACAGGGAAGCTGTAAATTACACAGTGGCAGGGTCTGCTGAGAGTTTAGAAGGACGGTGTTATTGTGTGAAAGCACCTTTCATCAACTCATCCCAAACAGGTGCTTCTATTGCCTTTTCTATTTACTGTAAACTGGACAACTCCGGTCTGTTTAGAGATTTTTTCCACAGATTAGCTCAAGACCTCTCTTTAACCTTCCTACGTCCCATACAGTGTATACACCTTAAAACACCTGTTTTGTTTAATTAATTCTTATTCATAGCTCACTGAAACAATTGTTTTGAAAATGCAGATTCCAAATTTTAAAGCAATATTTGTGTTTTTAAGTAGAATATTTTATGATGGTTTGAAAAGTTATTAAGCAAAGAATACTGTGCTTCACATTTGATAACAAATAAAAAAGTGTGTACTCAAACTTGTAGAGGCAGAATGTACATTGAATGTAAATACAATGTAACGACTGTGTAATTAATTGCACAATTGTGTAGTTACATATGAACAACGTATGTGAATTGAAAGTATAGCAAAACAGCAGTAACTCTTAGACTTGACTAGTGTTTGCCAATATAATTTGGCCTTTGTAAAAGCTGTAAGTTGTGACAGGTAAATGAAAACGGTCTTGCAGTAGCACCCCCTCTGAAAGAGCAGGTCTACACGTGGTGCCTCCTGTTGCATTCCTCAAGCCTCTCCACTGATTGGTAGAAGGCTTCATGCTCTGAGTCACTGATAAATCGGACTGGCTCCAAACACCCCCTCAGTTCTCACTTCCTCTTTTTACCTGTCCCGCAGTGGGTGGGCCGTCCTTATAAGACGAAACAGCACGTTCAGCTCAGAGGTTACACAGCACTGTTGGACGCTCTGTGTCGGCTGCGTGTAGGTGATCGTCTAGCAGTTGCTCTTTGGAAGTGTCCTCCTTGCCCAGGCTTATAAAGACGGTAGCGAAACTAGCAGTGTTAGAGGTCACGGGTGTCGCAATAACAGTAAGAGGGAGTGACAGAGAAGTGAAACAGAGTGACAGACTGTGGTCAGACGAGGTTTGGAGTTTGTCTGGGTGAATATTCGGCAGTAGGTAAGTGTCTTGTGTGGATCTAGGTGAATGGAACTGATTGAAGCTTGTCTGTTAGCATACATACTGAGGCTGAAACCTGGTCTTTCCATGTTTGTCGTTTTTTCATTTTTTTAATTCGGTGCTCTTTACATTGTGTCGTAACGAATGTACCCATTGCAAAGGCTTAACATTACTTCTACAGTGTAAACTATAAACATTGACTTTTTAAAAAAGCTGTAGAAACCAATTGCCTCACATTACAGATTGGTAAACTGCAAATTCTGATGTAAAGTAGTACATATATCCTGAGGTTCAGGCACAAAGTTAGTATTTCTAAGCAATATTTGCTGGAGATTTGCTATTTTGTTACATGAAAATGTAAATTATTGAGGTAAAATGATCATTTGAGGAACAAAACCAGTCTAAAAATGGTCAGATCAACCTTAAAGGAATACTTCTTCCATTAACAAGCAGTTTAACTCTTATATATGACCAAAATTTATATAACACATTTAGTGTAGATGAACAAAAGCAATATTGTATATCAATTCAGACTTCAAAAACACTTCAAATCACATTCAAATTACAGTCTATGTAAATGTGCTTATAACTGTGTAGTAAAGTATATAGTTATCATTACCCTGTATTACTTCCTTTGTGAAATGCCATTACAGTAGCTTCAACATATATACACTATGCCATATATTAGTTTCCACTCCTGTAAAATAACCATGACAGTTTGGTCTGACAGCAACTTTATGTGGATGTGTGAAGCAAAACAACGACAGACTTCCAAAGGTTAACAATGTCATTTGGTCATGTTTTTATAACATGTTGGAAAGTTGTCATTAGCTTATTCTCAGCTGTTTTTGTGGATGTATGAATTGAATGTTGTACAGTGTGTAGATGTGGATCTTCTATGTGTCAGATAAGTGATGGTATCTGAGTGAATGTTTAATTCAGGGATGTGGGAAGTGGGGGAGCAAAGACTCATGTGCTTGTTTTGGAGAGGGGTTTGCATTTTCTTTTTTTGTGTATATATTTTCAAAATCTGCAGTAGCTGCTCTGTTTAAGTTAACGCTGTGTTTTTATTGTCAAATCGCTTTCCTCGCCAACATCTAGGTGCTTTAGGGGAGAGTGGCTAAAACACACCAGGTTGAGGTTCAAAGAGACAGAGGCCTGTTCTGAACCCCAAAGCAGCCTAATACAGTTTTTAAACTTAAAAAAAATCTTCTAACAAAAAAATTCAACCGTTATTTCTCGCGCTCAGTGAGAATTCCAGTGATAAATCTCACTGTATGGCTGTGGCCACATATCAACAATCTGATTGGTCGCCACTCAATTCATTTGCATAAAGTTTGTCCAGAATGAGAGAGCAGAGCGAGGACGTGCATCAGCTGTTTAATGTGTTAGTTACATGTATATATTGTTGTCTCTCGCCTCATTATAGTGCAGTATGACATATTCTGTTTGATGTAAAGTATTAAAAAATTTAAATGGAAAAAGGCAAATCATTTAGCATGATGTCATCATTCGTGTCACATATATGCTGCTTAATATTTCGGCACCCCAACTGAAAACACCTTCCCGCGTCCCTGGTTTTAATGTTTTGGTGCTGCTGTGAGTAAAGACTGATTTATGTGTGGCTGTAGGTGAGCGTCCTGACGGAGCAGGTGGAGGCGCAGGGAGAGAAGATCAGAGATCTGGAGGCCTCTCTGGAGGAGCACCACCACAAACTCATCTCCACTGAGGAAATGCTCCAGCAGGTACTGGCACGCTTTCTCCATGCGCACTGCAACAGCTTAAAGAGAGCAGCAGTCACTCATTAACAGAGCAGTTAGAAATGTACAGCCCTTAAAGGGGAATTCCACAGGTTTTTCTACATTTCTGCATAATTAAATGGTAAAGACATTCAGAGTGGTTTGATCTGAAATGCAGCATTCTAGAGAAACGTGTGGTGCTGATAGGAACCAGACGGCTGAGGAGTTTAAAGGGCAGAAAACTCTATTTTAATAAAAGAGTTTGTCACTCCTCAGTCCATATAGTCCATTTATGTCCATTTATTTTGAATCTCTGTTTTGTGATGTCACAAAAAACAACTGTCAGCCCATTCAGTCTACAACAGTTAAGCTCCACCCACGTATGCTGAAGGACTGCTTTTTGAATGAGGCACAACACAGGGCAGGCAATCAGGATAGAGCTTACATATATCAGTCTTAAAGGCACAGTAACTAAAGCAGCCTGTTTACATTTATGGATAGAGGTGGTCATGTAAATATTCATTATGCTGTTTTTGATACATGAAAGTATTCAAATGTCAAAAAGTGAATCTGAAAATAAAATAGAAAAACAAGTACAATAAAGGCCCTTTAATGACTCTCAAAGCCGCCTCACAGAAGCTGTTATAAGACAGGGTTTTAAAGACGCTGCCTGATGACTGACACAGTGTTTACTGGCAGTTTTGGAAAGATTTTGGCTTAAAGGTTTTTTAAGCCAAGCGGTTCTTTGCATCATGAAAGTGTTCTTCAGAGTGAGGGAGAATGTTTTATATGGTTCTATATAGCACCAAATAGGGTTCTTTGAGTTTTCGTGATTCTATATAGAACCATTTTCTTCACTAAAGAGCCTTTGAAGAGTGTACTTTTACATCTACTCGAGTGTGACAGTGAGTAAAGGAATCTACACTCTTATATGAGATGGTTCTTCAAGGGTTGTTTAATAAAGACAATGGTTCTATATAGAACCAAAGGCCATTTGCATGCTTAAAGGGTTCTTGCATAGTGAAATGGTTCTTCAGTTTGCTGGAGAATCTGTTGTATATAGTTCTATACAGCACCAAACAGAGTTCTTCTGTTGTTACAAGCTCAACAACGTAACAATAGAAGAACCCTTTTTGGTGCTATATAGAACTCTTTTCAAAAAGGTTCCATATAGAACCATTTAAAGCATGTTCTCCATCAATCTGAAGAACTATTTAAGAATGAAAAAAACCCTTTAATCATGCAAAGGGTTCTTTGTGTGTTCATGATTCCACACAGAATCATTTTCTTTACTAAAGAACCCTTGAAGAACCATCATTTTTAAGAGTGTATAACACACTTTTATCTATATAAATGACTACTTTAATTTGCTTCTTTCCATGTTTAAAGACAACGATGTGTCATACAGTGTCATAAGCCACATACACAAGTCTGTTAGAGATCACTGAACAACTGGCTGCAGTATGTGATGCAAGTTAAACATTCACAGTCAGTTTTCCAGATGTGGATTAAGTCCCAGTCTTGGACTAAATTGCAGTTTCAGTGGTGATTCTTTAATAAAAATCCTTTTTAGTATAGACTTACAGTCGTATGCAAAGTAAAACAGGGGCCGTGTTACAGAGACGTCCTATCTTTTTGTCTTAAGCTAAGATCTGACAGGTCAAGATGAGATTTTTCACAAATTTGTATTAGAGAAGCAAATCTTATCTTGAATCTGATCTTACAGCATCTTATCTCAAGTTAAGAAATGTTAACTTACTCGATCGAATTCGACAATCATCTGTCATGTCTGTTGCCTAGTAACCGACCATAAGCGCACAGCTGAAGCATAAACACGTAATCAAAGTAGTGAAGCTAGTTAGCCAGACAGCTAACGATCACCACCATTACTGATGTAAGAAAGGTCTAAAGTGTGATGAACTGAAAGTTAGTAATATTGTGTCAGCGCTTCGTCCTGTCAGTGTCGCCGCTCTCAGTTTCAGTTTCAGTTTCCCAGACGCTTTAGCTGACCACGCTAATGCTATTCCTCCTAATAAACAGACACACGTTCAGCTTCGTCATCCTCATTATTCACCACCATCACTGTAATATTTTATCATCAACATTAACACATGAAGGTAATAAGAAGGGACAAAGCACCGTTTTCAGTGTAGATAAATGTGACGTCATTATGCTGGTTATAGTGAACTATACTGCCTGTCACTGCATGAAACAATAGAAACAGATACTCTGGGTTTGTCTTAAAGTTAGGACAGTATTTAGGAGATTTAGGGTGTGTCTCAAAACCTAGTGAGCTCTCTAAGTAGCTGCTGTCTACATAGACAGCTGTCTAAGTAGGCAGCGTTCCAACCGTCATCTATCCTTATAAGACAGATAAATGAGACGCTCTAGTTAGACAGCAGTGACGTCGCCGCTTGTTCCCGCCCACTGCACGAGACCAGCGTTTACTTACCTCAGCCGTCAGAATCACAGTTAGCCAACATGGATCTGCTCTGGCAGTTTATATAGCGATTTTAACTGTATTTGCTCTGAATGAAACAGCAGAATAGACAATAGTTGTGGTCAAACGCAGAGAGTATAGGCTATTTGTGCACCTTTATGACTAGAAAACAGATAAATCAGAATAATTTACATTTGAAGATGACGCCGCTGCTCGGCGAAGCACTTCTACCCGCCATTATCAAACAAAAGTTGCGCCGCGCTGCATCGCGGGATTGCCTCAGCGGCTGAGGAAACATCTGATGCTCTCTCGATATTGGGCCAAAATGAGGTACCTCAGTAGGCAGCGTATTTGAGATATCTAAGAATTGGGACAGCCTTCTTGTCGGGAGCGCGCATATTGTGACGTAAAATGCTGTCTATGTAGAGAGCTCACTAAGTTTTGAGACACACCCTTAGTCTAGTTAGGGTGTTTGTGTGATACTGTTCTCTGATCTGGATGTTAATGGATAAGATGATGAACTTGAAGACCTGTTGTTCTGTATTAGCTTCTGTCCTAAATTCAGTCCTTGCTGAAGTTGTCATGGTGACTAAGCAGATAAGATAAGATTTCAGACTTAAGAAGTTTCTGTAATACAGCTCCAGGAGTTTAACTCTTAATTGTGTTAATGTGTGACTCATCTGATTGCAGTTCATGTGTCATAGACAGTTTTGCAGTTTGGTTGCTGTAGTAAGCAGTCAGATTACAGAGTTCCTCGGTTTAAGGCTGGCGTGAGCGTTCTGCTGACTCCAGTGCGCTGTGTGATGATGAGGAGGACGTTTCGAGATTGATGAGTGTGGCTTGTCAGTTTTTCTGTTCAGTCCCGCCATAATTATACCCGCAGACGCAGCACAGCGGACAGCCGTGTAGAGCAGAGCAGCGTGTCATCTCAGAAACATGGCTCTGTTGAGGAAATGTTCCCTTACAGTCAGCATTACTGCAGACAAGGAACTGCAAAAAAAATTAACTTCAGATAAATAACGTTCGTTAAAGAACCCGGATCCTACATTGTTCTCATATTTGTGTGGTTTTATGTACAGGGAGTTCATACAGGGAAGTTTTAGTGCACATTTTCTGTTTATTATATACATATTAGAAACAAACAAAACAGAAATAAACAGTAATTGTGCTTTAAAATGTGCAGAGCTGCGTTCTCTGTAGAGGACGTAAAGCTTATTATCACTTAGAAAATCGACAGAACGTCATTTGATTCTTTGATTTCTTTCTTTCATTCCAAGAACAATGACCATCAGTCATCTCCTCATGACTTAACTGACCGAGCTGCTTTCTGTTAGTGACCTGTGAGTTAATGTTGACAGAGTTTTTAATGATTAATGTTTTAAATGAGACCTGCAGCTTTATAGTGACAAACACAGAGCCTGGACTGTTCAACACTGCAACCTACCTACTTACCTACCTACCTACCTACCTTTCTTTCTTTCTTTCTTTCTTTTTCTTTGTTTTTTCTTTCTTCAATTCTTCCTTTTTTCCTTTCTTTTTTTTTTCTTTCTTTTTTTTCTTTCTTTCTTTTATTTTTTTGTTTTATTCTTTCATTTCTTCCTTTTTTCGTTTTTCTTTTTGTTTCTTCCTTTCTTCCTACTTTCCTTCCTTACTTACTTTCATTAATTCATTCCTTCTTTCTTTCTTTTGTTTATTCTTTGTTTTATTCTTTCTTCATTTCTTCCATTTTCTATCTTTCTTTTTGTTTCTTTCTTTCTTCCAAATTTCCTTCCTTCCTTTTTTTCATTAATTCTTTCTTTCTTTCTTTCTTTCTGATCATGGTGTGCTGAGTGCCGAGTGCTGGTGTGCGTGTATCGTTGTGTGTCAGCAGTCTGTGGTCTCGTGAATGGTTTCTTGTTAAATTGGATTTGTCCACTCTGCGTGACCGATGGCTCTCATGCCCGAGACATGAAGACTCCATCATTTGTTGAATTTCCCAGATTGAATGTAGCGCTGAGGGCTGTACCTGTCTGATCTGTTTCCTGAAGTTATCTCAGACTTTGATACACTCTGAAAAACTTTGAATCACAAACAAATCTGTGCCCATTCTTGGCGCGTGCCAAAGACGAAGGTCCAGGGGCTCCAGTCAGATGAGCCAGCATCAGTCTAAATATGGCTTCAAATGCATGTACCGGACATGCACACGCTCATTTGCTGTGAAACCGTGTCTCAGTAGGGAAAACGGTCGGGGAACTGCACCATGATAACGGATATTATGTGTGTGGATGCTTTCGCCAAAACAAGAGCTCAGATATAGAAGACTGCCATGGCGATAATCAGATTCAGATGGAATGTGAGGAATCAGGGAGGGAGGCAGGAATAGAGAGAGACAGAGAGATAGAGAGTCCTCATGGCTTCCTCTGCCTGCCTGTACATGAGCAGTCTGGTTTGGTATCTTTCAGCGCTCTGCAATGTTTGACCCAAGAGTCCTTCCTCATATAAATACTGAGGGAATCCGCTTTGATTCTTGCTGGTTTCATAAAGTTCTGTCTGCAGGGACTGTCACATGTGTTTGAACTGGGTTAAAATTAGAGGGAAATTGGGAAAATAACATGGATTAACAATGCATTAATTAAATGCAGAGTTAATTATTGTGGAATTATGGTAGTTCATCGAGTTCAACTGTGCAAATACAAGTCACATCCAGATATTGTACTGTTTTCTAAATATTTTGACAGATTTGTTCATAATCTGTTGCTTAACAGACCAAGAGGTCATTTTATCACTGCTATTGTTAACTTACAGAAATAGAATGTAAATTATCACATTTCACAGGCATTTATATTTATTGTCATGGTTGTTTCCATTATTATTATGGTAAAATACTGTAAATACTGAATATAAAACTACTTGAACGAGTGAAACTGTTGAATTTGAACAAACGGCTCTCACAGCAGTCAGAACATCCCATCAACAAAGTCAGTTAAAGGCAAAAACAAGTTGATTCGTTTGGTTGCAAACAATGATGATTTTCACATATTAACCTTTTTACTCACCTTTCAAAAGCTATTAAAGACAAAATTTAACATGCAGAAATTAAACAGTCTTCACTGTTTACGAAAGTTTCACTTTTCATTCATTTTATCTCAGTTCTGATTAACCAGTTAAATACTGAATCTGTGGGTGGGCTGATTAATGACTGTGAGCTGCTGCTGTGCTGTCTAATGAACACTGCTGTTATGATGCACTAATGTCTCTGTTAATGCTAATTTGGTGTACGAGTAGAAGTACAGTTCTGGGGCCGTATTACAAAACGTCCTTTCTTTTTGTCTTAACTTCAGTTCTGACAGGTCAGGACAAGATTTTTTACAAATTCGTATTACAGAAGCAAATCTTATCTTTATTTAGGAATCTTATCTTGTCTTACAGCATCTTATCTCATGTTAAGAAATCTTAACTTACTCGATCGAAGTCGACAAGTCAAATGTCATGTCTGTTACCTAGCAACCGACCATAAGTGCACAGCTGAAACGTAAACACATAATCAAAGTATTTGAGTTAGTGAGCCAGGCAGCTAACTACCGTTACTGTTGTACAAAAAGGTCAAACAAAACTAAAGTGTGATAAACTGAAAGTTAAATGTACTGTGTCAGCACTTTGTGCTGTTTATCAGAGCCGCTCCCCAGTTTCAGTTTCAGTTTCCCAAACGCTTTAGCCGAGCGCTCTAATGTTATTCCTCCTAATAAACACACACACGTTCAGCTCTGTCTCCTCTTTATTCACCACCATCACTGTAATATTTTATCTGATGAGTTTTCATCAACATTCACACACAAAGGTAATAAGAGGTGTGGTGGAGATCGTGTCTGCAGTGTCTCGGGTTTTAAAACACTGTTTGAAAAAAACGCTCACAAGTCAAAGCGCCGTTTTCAGTGTTGATAAATGTAATTTCATCATGCTGGTTATAATGAACTATACTGCCTGTCACCGCATTAAACAATAGAAACAGACCGTTAAAACAGAAGTTAAGACGCTCTGGGGTTTATCCTAAAGTTAGGACAGTATTTAGGCGATTTAGTCTAGTTAGGCTGTTTCTGTAATACTGTTTTCTTGTCTTGATGTTAATGGATAAGATTATGAACTTAAGAACTGTTGTTCTGTAATAGCCTCTGCCCTAAATTCAGTCCTAACTAAAGTTGTCATGGTGACTAAACAGATAAGATTTCAGACTTAAGAAGTTTCTGTAATACGGCACCCTTTAACTCAGATTCAGTGGTGTAGGTCTGCTAACATCAGTTTCTATATTTTGGTTTCATGTTTTTTTCCAACGCTGTGCCTGTTGAAGCCTGTATGTTCTCAATTCTGAAAACATGTTTCTCTCCAGTTGTGGTTAATAGGGTATTACTTTAACTGTCTCTTGCCTAACACCTTAAACAACAAGTCATTTCCAGCAGTTACTGAATAATACGGCTTAAGATGAATAGCTGAATAATAAGCCTACAGTGGAGGGGTTTATCCGGCGAATCCTAAATCTTCTCTGCTGGCTTATCGGGTGCTATGGTATGTCTGAGACACTGTATACACAGCGTGTAGGTCTGATAAGCTAAACTGAGATGCACCTCTTGATAAGTTCAAAGTTGTTCCGTCGCCCCTCCCTCCTTTGAAGTAACAGCCGGATCCGATTTCAGGAGCGTATAATAACGGATCTCGGCTTAGGCCTCTAATGATGCGGGTGTTTAGACTGGATTTTGTTCTGCTCTTGTAGCTCTGATCACTTACGTGTTGTGGACTCGGTCAGTTTTTGTTTGTATTAAGGATAATAGGCTTTTCTTATTATGATTATGTCCGTGGGGATTTAGCAGATCAGTTTTTAGATGACAAACAGGAAGCAGAAAGCAGAAGTGTCTTTTTCTTGGAATGGAAACCAGTGGTTATGAAATATAGAGGGCACTGACTCAGGGTTGTCTGGTGTAACTCTGCAGCTATAATTGTATGCAGTGTAGATTGTTGTAATGTATTAGGGTGGGTTTCAGTTGTTGTGTGTAGGAAGTGCTCAGTCAACCACATCTGTGTTCACCAATGATCTCAAGTCAAGCTTACTGATGTTAGATCAGAGTCTAGATTACTTTATTTAACCATTTTAGCCAGCAACACCAAACTGAGATTGAAAATCTCTCTTAGAGGAGACAGGCAGGGCCTGATTAGAGGGGCGATGCCATTTCCAGTCAAAAAGAAATGATAAAAATCATCCACTTGCCCCCTTTTTTACATCTCCTTTGCGTTAATGTTAAATATGATATCATCTATCATTGATATTGTCACTGTCCAAAGTAAAAAACAAGTATCTCCAAAATAGTAACTTTACAGGAGAGAGCAGAGGTTTTATTCCAAGAGATTTTAGAGCATTTCTATTGGTCCATTCATCGAAAATGAAGATACATGGTTTTCTTTGGACAGCGACAACATTTTAATTCCATTCCAGATTTTTAAGCACTGAACGACACAGAGTCGCTGTAATTTTGTCAGAAACTGTTTATACTAACCACAGATTTTAACCCAGAATGGGCTCTAATAGCGTGATATTAAAAAATCTAATCTTATCACTATATAAAATAAAAGATATCTGAAAAGGCTTTCTTTCACGTGCTGAAAAATTAAGCATCTGTACTAGAGATGGCATCGATCCATTACTGGGTATCAGTATCAGACTGATGTCACCAGAAGACTGAGGATCAGACATCGTCGGGAAAAAAGCATGAATGTGATCCAATTCAGTCACAAGTGGAGCCTAAATATAGCACAGAATTGCTTGAAGTGTCATAAACCGGAAACCGAATTCAAGCAAGTCATTTTGTGACATTGTTATTGTACATTGCTGTGTCTGATCCACTTGCACCAGCGCAACACACACTAACATGCCACCACTACATCAGTGTCACTGCAGTGCTGCGAACGATCCACCACCCAAATAATATCTGCTCTGTCTGGTCCTATGGGGGTTCTGACCACTGAAGAACAGGGTGAAAGGGGGATAACAAAGTATGCAGAGAAACAGATGGACTACAGTCTGTAACTGTAGAACTACAAAGTGCTCCTTTCTGGTGAGTGGAGCTGATAAAATAGACAAAGAGTGTAGATACAGTGGTCGCTCAGTGTATTTGCACATATCACAGCATGTCGGCGCAAAACCTCGCTTATCCAAAATGCTAACTGTACAGGAGAAGGAAAAAACATACTCTACTTTTAATGTAAGTCAATGGAACCTTTTTCCAAGTAATTTTGGCCCGTTTTCTTTTGGTCCATTCATCTTGAAATTTACACACAATAAAAAGGACAGTAAGTATTTTTAAATTATGTCACAAACTGAAAAATGTCAAAAATGGAGATATGAGGTTTTGCTCTGACAGCAGCGATATATATGTCAGTTTATTAGAATATATGCTCATATGTTGATTAAATATATGTAATAGTGTTTAAAAAATATATGTAAATATATTACAAACTGTTCTGTCCGTGTGTGTATTTGTGTCAGTATGATGTTAAAGGTAAAACCATTGCAAGTCAGTGCTTGTACTGTGAGGAGCTTGGATTCTGAGACTAACTGTCTGTCCTCAGCTGGAGTCTGAGAGTGCTGCTGAGTTTAGCTCTTAGGCAGAGGAATTCAGAGAAAAGCCTGATCCCCCTCACTCTCTTTCTCTTTTCTCATACTCACACGCGCGTGCTGGGGAGACAGAGGAGTAAAAATAGCGCTCACTGCGTGGGTATATTTAGCAGTGCTGGCTCTGATCCAGACGATGGAGAACTTGTTGCCCAGTAGATCAACGGCAGCTCACATCGTGTTCAGCAGCGGAAACTGTATACAGTACAGAGAGTGAGTGTGTGCCGACGTGTTCTCACACTGTGTGTGTGTGTGGTGTGTGTGTGTGTGTGTGTGCAGGAGCTCCTGAGTCGAACCTCGTTAGAGACACAGAAGCTGGATCTGATAGATGAAGTTTCATATCTGAAGCTGAAGCTGGTCAGTATGGAGGAGGAACACGGACACACAGACGGAGACGACAAACAGCACAAAGCTGAGGTACTGTCACTACATCACTCCATCATTCTACACCTCTGTCCCCTTCATCACTTTATACCTCTATCAGTCTCACTATATACCTCGATTACTGTATACTTCTGTCACTCTGTGACTGTATCACTTTATAACTCTATCACTGTGTCACTCTGTGACTGTATACCTTCACCACTGTATCACTCTGTACCCTTATGACTGTATCACTTTATCACTCTGTCACTGTATACCTTTATCACTGTATCACTCTGTGCCTTTATCACTATATCACTGTGTCACTCTGTCACTGTATACCTTTACCACTGTATCACTCTGTACCTTTATCACTGTATCACCTTATCACTCTGTCACTATATCACTCTGTTACTATATACCTTTACTACTGTTTTACTCTATACCTCTATCTGTAAGTCACTTTATCACTCTATTACTATATCACTCTATCACTATCTTACTCTACTATCAGTATACCACTCTATACCACTATAACTAAATCACTCTATCACTCCGTCACGGTATGCCTTCACCACTGTATCACTCTATACCTTTATCAGTAAGTAACTTCATCACTCTTTCACTATATCACTTTATCACTCTATCACTATATCACTTTATCTCTCCATCACTTTATACCTCTATGCCTCCATACCTCTGTTACTCTGCCTCTACCTATCTGTCACTCTGCCTCTACTCTATCTCTGTATCTCTATCACTCTATACCTCTATGTCACTGTCCCACTATCGCAAACAACATAAGGCTGAGGTACTATCACTTTATCACTCTATATCTCTATCACTCTATACTTCTGTCACTCTATCTCTCTATGTCTACAACACTACTGCTTTTATAACGCTATACCTCTGTCACTCTGATCACTAATCACTCCATCACTCCATCCCGAACAGCTGAGGCACTGTCACTCTATTTTTCTATCACTCTTTCACTCTATCACTTGATTAATTATACTTTTGTCACTCTGTTACTCTGTACCTTTATTGCTAATTGCTCTGTCGTTCTCTCACTCTCCCACACACAGCACATAGCGAGGTACCATCACTATATCATTCTACCACTCTGTCTCTTTTTTCCTGTATCACTCTCTATACCTTTATCACTATCACTCCATCAATACATCACTAAATCACTCTATCATTCTCTTAGTGTATCATCCCTCTCTTCCTCTATGCCTCTATTCCTCTGTATCTCTTTCCTTCCATCACTCTTAGCAGAAAGACCTTTTGGTGATATATTGAACAATTTTTAAGTGGTTCTTTAAAGAACCGTGTGCAGCAGGTTGTCCCTCATAGAGAAGAACCATATGACCATTCAGGGATCCAGGGATCCAGCATTCAGACATTTCTTTGAATTGTCATGGTTCTATATGTAGCCAATGCCTTTACTAAAGAAGATCTGATGCACTCATTTTAAAGGGGTTGTCTCTCTATCAATCCCTTTATCACTATTTCCATCACCCCCTCCCCCTCTGTCCATCTACCACTTTATATCTTAATCACTCTTTCAGTCTATCCATTATCATTCTACCCATCTGTCCCTGTAATTCTGTACAGCTCCCAGTTTAGCTTCCTTTAATCACTACACGTTGCTGTATAATCAGTTTGTCTCTTTACTACACTTTCTACTATACAATCTGTAAGTGTATCCCTTTTTCACTCTCTTGCTCTGCCACTGTGTTCACTCTATTCCTCAACTACTTTTTCCCTCTGTAAGTTTATCTTTCTGTCACTCTATAGCTCTGCCAGTCTCTCCGTTTATCCCCCTCTCCTCCTCCACTACAGGCCAGAGGTCTTGCTGAGATGTCTGTGGTTTTTCTGCATTTTGGTGGTTTGTCTTATGGTTTAGTTCTGCCACAGCTACAATACTGTCACTCTCTCTGTCTCTCTCTCTCTCCATTTAAGGTCTGTTTGGCCTAGTTCATGAGCAGCTGTGTTTATTTACTGTTGTGTTCATGTGGATCATTATTCCCACAAACCGATGGCGCTGAATTGCTCTGTTTGTGGGTTTAAGGAGTTGCTCCTCTGAAGCTCTGAGAAAAAGTCGTTAGGTCCATGTTAGTGCTGTAAATTAACCCAGGAGGATTTGTGTAGGGAGTCTTTGGGCCTGAGCTGCTGGATTAAATGAGATTTTTAGGCTGAAACACCATTAACTGTGAATTTTAGTCCAAGACTAGACCTAATCTCTGTCCAGGAATTGACCCTATATGTCTATATGTGGGCCCACACGTCAATTCCTCACTCTCAGAACTACATTATTACTTATTAGTTACTAATAGGTTTGATAGTAGTTACTGAGTAATAGATCCTGAGCTTAATAGGTCAGTAATAAGCCTGCTGTATAAGGTAATAAGTAAAATGGTGTAAATAGCTTGTTCCCACAAAAGAATGTAGGATTGAAACATCACCAGGCCGTAATGACAGCACTCGTCTGGAGCTTTGGAATTCTAGCCATCCACATTTCTGGCCTCTACCCCCACGGAGTCGCCCTTTAGGGGGTCTGCAGCCTCTCAGCACAGAGAGATCAAACGCTACCCCAAAGTGAGCTTTAGAAGGGCTCCATAAAACTCCTCAAAGAAACATCTGACCTCAGCTTAGGTGGCCACTAAACAAACATCTCCTAAAGAGTGTGCTCTCTGCAGAGCACTGCAGACCAGTTCTTTGGTTATGATCCCTCAGCAGCCTTTTGCCTAAAGAACAGTTATACAGGATAATACAGGACTTTTCAATTACTATTTCACGTATTTAGAGTCGAATCACAGGTTATGGTCCATCACATATTTTACAATTTATCTTTAAATCTGCAGCTAAATATTTTACTTAAGGTGAACTATATGAAATCAGTTTAGGTTGATGATTACGTTGTTAAAAGCAAAAGTGGAGCCCTGCATTCAAGAAGAATCATTTAAGTGAGAATACAACAAAGCATTAACACTGAACAGATATAGCTGCGATTTATCTATAACTAGCTTAGCTATTGTTCTAATTCAGACCAATAGTTAGTCAAACCTGCCTTTGTGGATTCGTTCTGGTTCTGACGTAGCAGCCATCATTCAATAAATGTCAAACCATCTGTCTAACTAACTGTGTAACTGCCTAACTAACCGGTTAGCTTTAAGCATGATCTCAGCTCTACTCACCACACAACGTGTTTGATTCCGGCTAAATAAAGCACCAACACTAGTTTACGTTGTTTGAGTGGCTGGCTTAATGGGGAAAAAAAGTTAAATTAAACTTCTGTGGAGTTTGGATCTGTATCCTGATAGGCTAACTTGATGTTAGCTTGCTGCTATTAAGTTTTTTGAAGTTTTTTCCTGGCTCTTCCTGGACGTTTTTCTCCTTTGTCTATCAGCATCCCACACCACCAAGCAGTGACCCCTTAAAAATATAAACAGGTGAGATTAGAGGTGGCCTATATGGCAAAAATGTAATATAACGGTACTTCAAGAAGTTTTCACGATATGCATTATGTCCCGATAATTATTTTAACTGAAATCTGATAGGTTTGAACAGACAAAGTAGTGGCTTATTTTAAAAAACAGCATAAGGACTATGAATCCAGTTATTTGTGTTCAATATTTCACATACTATGCTATACTAAATCTAATTAAACAGGATTAATTATGCTCTCTGTTTAACCAATCATGCAGTTGGGAGGTGTTTAAGTACTAACAATATCCACAATAAACTCAGAAAAGCATATTGTAATAATGTGACTATTTTTTTAATGATAAATATTGTCATATTGCCCAGTCCTAGGTGTGTTTATTTATTCCATTCAGACGTGGAATCGATGGAATTTGATATATCATAATCTTGAAATAATGGCATAATTTTTAAATACCTGTAGTATCTTATTACTGTTATACCACTCAACTCTACTGAGAACACAGATACACTTCGCTGGACAAAAATAGTATTGTGTATTGTAAAGAGTGGATGGACTTGCGGTCAGATTCAAGCTGTATTCTTTGCACTCTTCTGGGTGTGGTAAGTGTTAATCATGCTGATATAACGGGAAGTTTGCTGATGGTAGTGCCTCCATTTCCTGTCCAATTCATGAGCAGGCCGAGTTCCGGCTAATTACAGGACGCATTAGCTCATGCAATATCGTTAAATCACTCTGCACACATCCGAAAATTTTATTATATCATAGATAGGTCGCTTACCTCTATCCAGGTTTATTACACCGGAGATAAATCTTCGACTACATTGCAAGTAACTTAGAGGATCTAAAAGAGTTCCACTGTGTCACGGTGACTCAGTGGGTCTTCAGCATGACTGAATCTCCAGCTTGTTTAAATAAACAGTTTATTTAAATAAGAACACACTACAGCCCGCATTTCACAAGTGCTCTCGTGCCCGAAGGCCGATGTTCACTGATAAGGGAGGGCGGAAATTGCCGGAGACACAAAAGCGCGGGCACGTTTAGAGTGAGTGTGTGAGACAGACAGAGCGGCATGAGAAATGATGGCACACACAAACACTCACCGCTGGAAATCACTCTCACTCCCCAGATCTAATATGAATGCCATCATGAAAAATGTATGTAACATCATTTATGATTTTAAAACAATAGTTTTACACATTTTCCTCTACATAGTTTTCCTTTTATCACTCTTACAAATATAGTCCGTCAGCAAAGACCTGCTTGATGTCCAAAATTTGCCTTTTTAAATTGGCGCTGCATGTTGCCGACCCCTGGCCTAGGCTAAACCCCTCCCCTAGATACCAAATGTCTAATCATTAGGGATGAGCGATACCACTGATTTTCTTTTTGATCCAATTCCTAGTAATACCAAGGCTAATATCCTGTTATCAGTAAGAAGGAAAAGTAGTTGCTATCCTGCACATTTATGTTTTATGACCATTTTTTTACTTTTTCACCATGACTTTAATAATAATGATGCATATTCAGTTTATTGCTTAAAGAAAACACCTAGTATTGATATTTTCATGTGAGGATTGATTCATAAAAATATTTCAGTATTGATCTGCCCATCCCTACTACTACTACAACAACTGTACCTGTGCATGGCCACCTCAGAACGACAAGTACTTTTAAAATGTTTTAAAAAAGTCTGGTAGTTTGGAGAAGCCCATTACAATCTCAGTGTCCCCCATATCAAAGTTCAACAGGAAAACACTATTTCTCACTCTACTGCAAAAGTGTGAAAATCTCTAGAGACTCTCGTGAGACACGTGTGCTTGTACGCTCCCTCTCAGATCTTCTGAAGTTAAAGGCATTGGCTACCTTTTGCTATTTTAACTGTGTAGATTGTAACTGAAGTAGCTTGATGATGACTGTTAACCTGATGAACTAACAGCACAGACGAGCATGGAATTCATAAACAATGCTGGTGCTAATTTAGCTAGTTGACCAGCATACACAGCATATCATGTTTTTGCTGGTGACTAGCCATGGTAGTTACTCAATGCTGCTTTTTCTAGCAGTGAACAGAAAATTAAGGAAAACATACCTAACATTAGAGACATGCTAAAAAAGTTGGATATTTTTTAGATTTGAAGGGAAATTACACCATGAATGTAGCAGGTATTTATGATGCTAGCTAGATGAGTTTATTAGTTCCCCTACTAGCTAGCACTGTGTGCCACAAAGGCCAATCTGTCCAACAGCTCCTCACTGTATACCCACTACTTCTGAGTAGACTTCACCACTGATATTCTAATATCTGTGAAATTATCTATAAAAATACACAAAAGTATGCTTCACAGCTAAAACAGCAACCATTTTGAATGCTGAATTGTATCTGTACTTATAGATAACACTATAATCATGCAGTGTCAAAAATCACTTAAGCAAGTCTGTCTGATAATACTTAAAAACTGGAGTGCAACAGATTATAAGCTTCTACCTTTGAGCTGCATTAGCTCTGTCACTCCAGTGCAGAATTAAAAAAAAAAAATGTTAGTCGCTAAACACTCTTTAGCTGGTCTTCTACATTTGGGGTAAGAATTTGGCCTTTTTTTTCTTAAGAATCTTGGCAAAAGTCCAGAAATGGCCAGTTTCTACCAAGGCAGGGAAACATAGTAACACCTACTGACGTCTTTGAGGTAGCTTTGCTAATGGGTTAACCTCAGAGGTCATGCTTTCTGGGCCATAAATCTGTACCATCTATAGAGCAGCACCATACGATCTCGGCGCCGTGGTAAACTAACCCGCCCTGCATGTGTTGCTTCAACAAACACCATTCCTGCACGCAACAGCTGCAAGCACCCCCTTCAACGCCGTGGAACGGCAGAAATCCGCTCAGAACATGCCACATGCTCACACACTTTCACCGCAGACATGTGTCCCAGCCGCTAGCTGGTGAGTGCGTAGCCTAAATATAGGCGTGGAACGTGGGCCTTATCATCAGCTTTAACATCAACAGGAGATATCATATCCTCTGCTCGGGGGTCCAGGCATGCCCGTCAGGGACCTCTAATGCAGATCAGTCACTCCTGTGAAATGTTAAGTGGGAAAACCAACCTGAACATTAGCATCCTCAGTGCTAAGCTCCTGTCTTCTGATGTCCAGTTAGTGTAGTAATTGGCCTGCGAATGCTGCTGCTCTCATAGTTGCTGTAACTAAAAACAAGTAGCTCAGTAACGTATTTACCCCGGAAAACAAGGGGTTGCCACAGTGCAAATCCATCCACTTAATAGCTCCCCTGGCATTTACAACCAGGAGTATTTTCTTTAAGGTTGTAAAGGGCTGAAATGTAGGAGCCATGCTCAGATGTCTTGTTGACAGCAGTGTAGGAGTGAAGCGAACCATGAGCGGATCTGCGGCTAATGAAGCCCTTCTAAATTCTCAGTGAAAGGCAATACAATTATGAAATATATGGGAAAAAAAGTGACTGTATAGTTGCATATTTTTTGCATAGATGCATAGTTTTGATCAGTGTCATTGGTTTATATGAAATATAACGAAAGACCACTTAAACAGGACACTCCAGCCAAAATAAAAAAATTAACCATTGCAACAACTGTCATTAACATGCTTACTTGCATCCTACAGCACCGCTGCGGGAGACTCTACAGTCCATGTGTTAAACACAAGGCCCACAGGCCTATGCATATAAAGATAGGATCACTGTTTTCATTATATTTTAGCTCGACAAAGAAAGTGCAAGTTGAACTGATTCTGGCTTTGTTGTATTTATTAGCCTATAAATCTGAGGCTAGGCTAGCAGTAAGGACTGGTCGACACCACAGAGATTCCTAATGGTTTAACAATGTATTTGCGTTATGCATGCTGGGTATTGTAGTGAGAAGACAATGATGAATGAAAACTTGAAAGCGATATTGAAACTTGTGAATTCTGTCATATATACACAGTTGAGGGATATAATGTTGCACTACAGAATGCTGAATAACAACAAATAACACTGGTAGTCATTTATAGGCCAGAATATCCATTTACATCCTATTTTTTTCCATTTTTGCAACTGTATTGAAATCTTTGAGTGCTGACGAGTGCTGACCTCCCAGTAACCATATCAAATACGTAGGATTTTGTCATTATTTTTATAGACACAGTTTTTGCAAAGAAAAATTGCAAGATTTAAACAACTTTCTGATTAATATGTGAAGTGATAGCCAACCAAAAACTGGATTTGTGGCGAAAGAAATCTACCCTCACTCTCTGTGCAAAGCAACATGCTTATTAAATGTATGAGGGAACAAAACTAATCCTCCACTCATCTCTTCCTGAATCCACCCTACTACAGTTCACCACCATCTTTCTTGTATTTTTCCACCTCCTCATCCTCATCTTTTTCATCCTTTTTGTTTCTTTTTTTGTTGTCGTTGTTATTTTTTGTCTGTCAGTGTGTGGTTAATGTAATTAGCGAGCTCCAGGAGCAGATGCGTAAGTTCCAGCAGGAGATCACCACGCGCATCCAGGAGCAGCGGGCCCTCGAGGCTCAGGGAGAGGGGGCGTCCCAGCAGGAGCGCGACCGCAGCCCTGACGTGGGCTTGGGCTCATCAGACGCCGAGGACTGCAGCTGCCGCTGTAGAGCTGCAGGAGAGAACGTAGGCCGGCTTCTCTTCTGCCATGGAGCTCACTGCACGTCTTCTTCTCCCTCTCTCTCTCTCTCTCTCTCTACACTCATTTACCCTCAGACTGTAACGGTTTCTTCTCCTGATCCCTTCCCTCCCAGGATCCCAGCACTAACATTAACAGGCTCTTCTCACAGGGTGTCCCGAGCAAAGACTGTTGCCATGGGGAGATTCTCGGGGTTTACTAGCGTGTCTTCAAACTCAGTGCAGAGATGCTTGACTCGTTATTAGGCATTCCTGCATGATGGACCTGTTGATGGTTTACGCTCCTCTATTGACCTGCACTGACATGCATGCAAACTGTATGAACAACGAATACATAGCCACTTTATTGGAAAACTCTTTTTGGCTTCATATCACTAGTGTACACAGACTGTAGCTCATCTGTTATACAATCTCTAGCCTTTCATCAGTGGTCAGTTTCTGACCACAGAGCTGCTCTTGGCTGGATATTTTCAATGGTAGATCACTGACAGCGGTTGAGGGCAGAAAAATCGTGCATGGCAGCAGATCTGCTGCAGTCAGTAAGTGTACACTTATGTAGTTGGTCTACAGTACTGTGAAAAAGTAAAAAATGAAGTACAAGTCATTCATTGTTCAGGAGATAATTCATAAAATGTGATTACTTTGGTTTTGAGAGGCAAAAAATGCAACCAACTTCTAAGACTGAACATTGGAGATGTAGAAACAAGTGTCCTGAGAAGAGTGGAAGGGGTAATAAAGACTATGGCCCAGTTCCATTTCTTATTTTTACCCCTACCCCTTGTTTTCGGGTGTCATCTTGCCCCTTAGAACTGAGTTACAAGGGGTAGTGGTTGAAATCTTCCCCTACGAAATTGGACCCTCAAATAAAGAAGAGCATTACTTCACTAGCAGGCTATTGTCTCGACCCTGCCAGTCTGCAGTGACAGCAGAGGAGGTAAAGTTCAGCAACCTCGCTGCTGGGCTTTAGTTACATTTAGGGCATCATATGCCTTTAAAGCGCGATAATTATTTATCATCAACCACCCCGATTCCTTGGCGATATGAAGCGGAAGTCAGCTATTCGCCAGCTGCTTGTTTGAATTTTCCGTTCCACCTTAAATGGAGCAGCAGTTACATTCTGGTGACTCTGGTGACTATTTAAGGTGATTGGGCCTAAGTGTGGACATGTTATTTACTGACAAAATGTGTATTATATTTAGTTGTCGAGGCTTCTGCGTAATTTTCTGTCAAATATCTGTTTTCTGCTTTTTTCCTGACAATGAAAAATGAATAACTTATACATAAAGACCATTTTGACTGGAAATGAAATAAAGTGAAGAGTGGTCTTTAACTTTTGCACAGTACTGTATACAGTGAACCTATAAGGTAGGTGGACCTCATACAACCATTAGTGAGTGGACAAGCAAGATGTTTCAAATAAAGTGGAAAGTGAGTTTATGAAAACAAGCTAAATCAAATCTCTTTTAGCATCCAGTGCATTTATATCTACAGTCGGTTTATGTTGGAGGAGCCTGAGCTATCACATCAGATTTGGGCTACTGACTTAACTGACCATGGAAAAGGTTTTTCCAGTGTTTCAGGACTTCAGAACCTCATGCATTAACTGCACGGTGTGGTGTGGGCTCAAGGGGGCGCTGTCCTGACATTTCCACCCCCTCCCATTGGATTTGTTTCTGTGAACTGTCTGTTTTGGATGTGCATTTCATGTTATTAGGCTTAGGCTTTTGTGGACCTTGGTGGAAGTGTCTAATAACTCCTGAGGTGGTGGCGTCCTATGATGATCAGCTGTCCAATCTGAATGTCAACACTTGATAACAGCTTAATTTGACTAACTGCTGTGAAGCCCAAGAGACTTTTTAATGCTTTTTTGCATTCTTGCACCTCCCTGCAGATGTTTGATGAGGGTTTCTCTGTGTTTTGCCATCAGCAGGCTCTCCAGCAGGAGCTGCGTGTGTTGAAGACTAAAGTAGACGAGCTGGAGAGTGAGAAATCTCAGTATGAGAGGAAGCTGAAGGCCACCAAGGTAACGTCAGTCTTTCCCTGCCCCCTCCCCCTCGCTGACAGATCACTGCCAAACTTCCTGACCCTCTGCTTAACTCAGGCATAAACTAATACAGCGCTTCTCTGCCGCCTCGCTTTAATCACCACTGCAAGCTGTAGGTATGAAAGCCTCTTAAGTGATTACTTTAAAGCAGTAGCTCCCACCTCTTTAACTTGTTTTCTGTCGTACGCACGCGGCTCATGTTCTGCCTCCTCAAGATTTGGGGGGGGGGTCTGCTGCCTTCTGTCAGCTTACTCCTCCCCTCTCTCTCTCTCACTTTCTCTCTCTCTCTCTTTCTTTCTCTCTAACTCTCTCTCTCTTTCTCTCTCTCCCTTTTTTCTCTCTCTTCTCTTTTTCTCTCTCTCTCTCTCTTCTCTTTCTCTCTTTCTCTTTTTTACTCTCTTTCTCTCTGTCTTTCTCTCTCTCTCCCTTTCTCTCTCGCTCCCTTTTCTCCCTTTCTCTCTCTAATTCTCTCTCTTTCTCTCTCCCCCTTTTTTCTCTCTCTCTTCTCTTTCTCTCTCTCTCTTTCTCTCTTCTCTTTTTTCTCTTTCTCACTCTAACTCTCTCTCTTTCTCTCTCCTCTCTCTCTCTCTCTCTTTTTCTCTCTCTTTCTCTCAGTCTACTTTTCTCCTCCACATTCTCTTTCTTCACTTTATCTCTTCATCTCTATATTTCTCTCTCTTCCATTATTATCTCCTCCTCTGGATTACTCTCCTCATTCTTTGTCTTCATCTCTCTCTCTCTCTCTCTCTCTCCCTGCTTCTTTCTTCACCTCTAGCTTGCTCTATCTATCTATCTATCTATCTATGTATCTATTTTTCACTTTAGTTTTCCCCCTCTCTCCTTCACTCTTTCTTCAGTCTTTTTCTCTCCCTCTTTCTCTTGTCCTCTCTCCCTTTAGCTCTCACTCTCTTTTTATCGCCTTCTGTATCTCTCTCTCTCCCTCTCTTACTCCCTTTATTTCCCCTCTGTCTCTCCCTCTATCTACACATTTCTCACTCTCCAACTTCCCCCAATCTCTATCTCTCTCACTCTCTCTCTGTCATTTTCTCCTTCTCTAGCTCTCTCTTTTGTTCTGCCTCTATTTTTATATCTCTCTCACTCTTTCTCTCTTTATCTTTTTCTCTCCCTCTATCTCTATCTCTTTATCCTCTCCCATCTTTATATTTCTATCTTTTTCCATCTCTCTCTTTCTCTCTCTTTCTCTCTCTCTCTCTCTCTCTCTTTCTCTCTCTCTCTCTCTCTCTCTCTCCCTTTCTCACTCTCTGTCTTCGTCTTTTTCTCTCCCTCTAGCTCTCTATCTCTTACTCTCTTCATGTGTGTTACCAGTCGCTCATGACCAAGCTGTCCAGCCTGAAGCTCATGGTTGAGCACACTCAGGTTGAGAAGCAGCGCTGTGAGGAGCGCTGGCGGAACGCTCAGGTGCTTACTCCTCTTCCTCGGCCTCTAACCTTCATCAGCGGGGAGTATAACATGAAGGACAGGACTGGACAACATCAGTTGTCTTACTGCTAGTCCAGCCACTGATCTATAGGCTTATAAATACAACAAAGCCAGCATCTGTTCAACTTCTACTTTCGTTGTCAAACTGAAATATAATGAAAACAGTGATTAGAATCACTAATTGCATTAAGCATTTGAGTCAAATCGCAAGCTGTGAGATTCAGCCAAACTTTAATTTGTGCAGTGATGTATTTTACATATACTCATATATACTACTGTCCACTTTATTAGAAACATGTAGATTTGGAAACCCCTTTGATAATATAATGTCAGTAATAATGTACGAATACACTACTTGGTGAAAAGTATGTGGACACTCAAACAAAACATCCGTATCTGCTTGTTGAACATCTCATTCCAAAACCATGGACGTTCCACTAGGTTTTGGAATATGGCTGCAAGGGTTTGCTTCCATTCAGCCACATGAGGATTAATAAGGTTGCAGTCAGCTTTCCAGTTCATCTAAAAGATGCTGGATGGGTCAGGGCTTTGTGCAGCCCCATCAGTTCGGCCACAACAAACACAGCAAACTGTTTTTTATGGATCTCATCTTTGTGCATGGAAGCACTGTAATGCTGAATCAGGGAAGGGCCTTCTCCGAAAGTAATGCCACAAAGCTGAAAGCACACAATTCTCTACAAAGTCACTGTGTACTGTAGTATTTTTTTTTCTTTAATTTTCATTTAATTTCATTAAGTTTTCCTTTCACTGGAACTAAGGGGTCTGTACCCCAGACCATTATTCCCCCTCAACCAAACTTTACAGTTAGCACTCTACATGCAGAAAGGCAGCGTTCTCTTGGCAACCGTCAAAGCCATATTCATCCTTCAGAGTGTCAGATAGTGAGACATGATTGATCACTCCAGAGAACATTTTCACTGCTGTGTCCAATGGGAGTGTACTTTACACCCTTCCACCTGACACTTTGCCGTGTACATGGTGATCTTAGGCTTGTGTGTGGCTGCTTGGCCATCAAATCCAATTCATGAAGCGTCTAATTTGGCTAATTAGCTACTTAACTTGCTAGTTAGCTTAATTTATTGGCTGACTTGAAATGATATACTGCCCTGGTCCTTGACAGGGCTTAACATTTATAGCTTAACATTTCTACAATTACATAGAATCATGAGTAGAGTCAAGCATAAAACTAGTCAAGCAAAAATATCGTTATTTGTCAAGTGTAAAAATATGAACATATCGCTGTTGTCGGAAGAAAACCTTGTATCTCCATTTTTGACGTTTTTGAGTTTTTGACTTAATATGAAAAAGCCTGTTACCCTTTATATTGTGTGTAAATTTCATGATGAATGGACTAAAAGAAACGACCCAAAATGACGTGGAAAAAAGTCTGGTTTCATTGACTTACATTAAAAGTAAAGTAGGTTGTTTCCTTCTCCTGTAAAGTTACCATTTTGGAGATACGAGGTTTTCTTCTGACAGCAGCGATATGCTAAGCTCTTCAGTACTCATTCTACTGCTAGTGTTTGTCTGCGTGAGACTGAAACTAAGCCAAACTCACTAATTAAAAGTGGTGTCCACAGACTTGTAGTGTATTTGCTGCACAGAGTTTTGGTTGCTACAAAGTCCTCTCCTTCAGGTTTTATGCTCCTCCCCCTGCTCCTGCTCCTCCTGCTCCTGCTGTTCTTCCTTGTGTTGTATCTCCATGTACTGTTCATACTCAACAGTCCAGATGTTCTTTTTTATGCTGGTATAATGTACCTTTTAGGGCATTTTGGGTAAGGTGATCTAGTTTGCTCGATTTTTAGTCATAATAATGTGTACGCGTGTTTGGTCCATTGTTAAACATTCCTTGTGGTTTCATGGAAGACAGAATCTGTCATGCTTCAAAGCTAAGAAACAGGTTTCTTGATGTATTCTCAGTGTTTGGTATATATAGTTTGCTGTTTATTAATTATGGACGGCTGTTTGTGCTCCAGGAGCTCTATCTCTTATTAAAAGCCTGCACAGTGTAGAAATGACCAGGCACTGCTGCGTCCATCTATGCATTTGTCTTTCATCAGTGGACAACAAGAGTGTGAATGTGCATGTTGAGACTCTGACCTACAACAGCTTGTCTCGTATCCATCTGGCCTCAGGGGGCAGCTCCATGTTAAAGGCTTCAACCTGGATTTTAAGCAGTGTGTCAGCAGACCAGTTGGTCTGTGTGCAGTCTGTGGTGGGGGCAGCATGAGTGGACCACTCTTAAAAAAGCGATAGTTCGGCACAAGATTTACACCAATGTAGTCAGGCAGAGAAGGAGGGTTTAAGTTCTAAAGTTCTTTAGTTTTGCGCTGGAGCTGTCAAGCAATGGAAGCTTATGCCCACCAATTTTATTTATTTCACTCTCCTGAAGTTCACATATAACTTTTAAGTAGTTTTATGTGAATTATAATTCATTTTATATGACTAGTCTTTCTTTATCTTTTAGAATTATACATGCTGCTTTTGTTACTGTGCCTTTAAGACTGATATATATAAACAAGCGCTTTTCTGATTGGCTGCCCAGGGATGTGCCTCCTTCAAAAAGCAGTCTAGGCTGAAACACTTCTTATAACTTTAACCAAAAAAACAACAAATTCTGATTTCTCATTAAAAAGTCATTATGTGGTCTTATATACAACTCCTTAAGTGATTTTATATAAGCTTACTTATGCGACTTTTATGCTGTATGACTTTCTGTTATCTATAACAGTGGACATTATATATAGTATATTGCATTGCTAAAAATAGTTGTTTCAGCCTTATTAAAGTCAAATTTAGAATTTTTAGCACATTTTTAGAGGGTCTGATGTACTAAGAGAATGTTTCAACTGCTCCAGTGTCCAACAGTGGTGTGCTTTTCATCAGTCCAGCTGATGCTTTGCATTGTGATGGCTTGTATACAGCTGCTTGCAGATCCAGTGCTAGATGCTTTAAGACTAGGTGATTCTGTTCTGCAAGCATGTGTCACAGACTGCTTTATGGCTGAGCTGTTGCTCCTAGCCATTTCCACTTTACAATAACAGCACTTACAGTTGACCAGGGCAGCTCTAGCATCCTGTGCATTTTATTACAGTGCCGCATTGAAGGTCATTTAATTGCCAGTGCTTGTCTATGGATCGTGCAGTTATGCATGAAATCTTTGTGGTATTGTCTTGAGTGTGTTGTTGGGAGATTCAGCAGCTTGAGGGAGTCTAGCCTTTTAACCCTTTGTTTCATGAGTGCGCGGCTTGTGTTAACTTTAGTAAATCCTTAGGTTCAGTAAATCATCCTATGCACAGTTAGCTTCAGCTGCATTTTGCCAGTAATGGGAACATTGTGAAAATGTGAATTTTCACCAAACTATTGCTTTGATGCCATTTAATTCCAGCTCTCCAGTGGCAGCCTGGTCTCGTTTAAAACAGGCCGGCATGGATCTGAGCTTTTGTTCTTAGCATACTCCCGAAGTTTCACCTACTCCGAAACTTGCTTTATGACAGTTATTGCTTGTACAGCTTCTCAGCGTTTGTTACATTCTAGCTAAAGTCTTTATTCACAGTTCAATTAAATTAGTTATTCACAGTTTAATTAAGTCTTTGTCAGCGAAAGCATGGACCCGCACCAGCCGTGCTCTATTGTGGTGTCTTCTCCTCATCTTCCATGGCGTACAGTTTCTTTTTAAAGGGAACTTTCACTGATTTTTCAAAAATTCTATATTCAGTCACTGAGATGGAAACAAAGTCGTTCTAAGAGTTTCTATAGAGAAATTTGCTGACTGAACCAGGGGTTTTGATGTCTATATTGCAAATATGGCCATTTTATTTACTACAGAAAACCACCAGTCAACCTACACATCATATGTAATGCTGATGATGGTAAAATAGTAGTAAATCTAAAGGAATATGTTTTTGGGGGCCTATTTTGCCTTACAACTCCCTGCCTGTACCTCTCCACCATGAATATATTTTAAAGATGACAAAACAAAAACAAGTAACACATTTCTGTAATGCTTTTAGAGGCACTGAATGCTTTGGATATCTGGTTCCTATCACCACCACTGTGAACAATTCTGACTCTGTAAGTTTCTCTAGAACGGAGCGTTTCACACCAAACCACTCTGAATGACTGTGTTTACATCTTAACCATTTAATTATGCAGAAATTTAGAAAATCGGCGGAGTTCCTCTTTAAGAGTAATAGCTTGTAGGCAATGAAGGATAGAACTGTGCTATAATAACACTGATCCAAGAACAGCACGCATGGGTGTCCTCTCATCTTTTGAACATGTGACTAACCTGTGTTTTGCTGTCACATTCAGTGTCAGTGTCCTGTGTTCCTCCTAGACATGTCAGATGTGTCCTGATATGTCAGATCCAGTTGTAATCACTGATCCCCCCAGTGCCACATTAGGGCATTGATGTATGCCCTGAGTGTCTTTCTCCTCTGTATCCACACCTCTGACCCCAGTGACCTGTGGCTGTTTGCTTATAATGGAATTGCTAAGTTTTAGATGTTCTTGTTTTTTTGCTAATGACTACAGTTTTGCCATTTTGCAGGCTGAAATCTCTGAGCTTCAGCAGCTACTGGCCTCTAAAGATGCTGAAATCGAGAGTCTCCAGAACCAGCTTCTGTCCAAAGGAAACATCAGCAATGACAGCATAGAAAGAGGTAACTTCATTTCATCTATAATGTTATTGAAATAATACACATTCCCTCACTGCACACTTAATTGGAAAGTAGTAAATCTGTTGTGTTAGCCTTCATCAGAGGCCAGTTTCTGACCACAGAGCTGCTCTTTTTTGGGATTTTTTGGCTGGTCGTCCACTCTAAACCTAGCAGTGACTCTGACATGTGTAAAATCTCCAGCACCACCGCTGTGTCTGCTACACTCACACCAGCACCACACACACTACCATGTCAGTGTCACTGCTGAGCTGAGAATAGACAACCACCCAAATAATATCTGAACAACAGTGGTCCTGTGGTCAGAAACTGACCAGTGATGAGTAGGATAGAGGGGCTAGCAAATTGCACAGCAACATATGAGCTACAGTCTGTAACTGTACACTTATTGGTTCTATAAGGTAGGAGAAGTTCATAAAGGGCTAGTTAGTGGAAGTACAATGTAGGTGTTTCCTACATTGAGATTGTGGACAGGGAGTGTAAATCTTTGCCTGCACACACATTAAATCTCAGTTCAGGAATTGCGGAAAGTAGATTGCCCTGGGATTCTTTTTAGGCCAAGACTGTGATACAGCTGAATCGTGTTCAGGTGTTTGAAGCACTGTTGTGTAATAATAATAATAATAATCATATAATGGTCACACTTTATTTTGATGGTCCCCTATAGATGATCTACAGATACTTCAACCATTAACAAACTTTCTGGTGATACTCAGTTGATTATTAATAACATTATGGGTAAGGTTAGGATTAGGAGTGGGTTTAGGTTTTGTCTTGAGTTTAGGATTCAACACTCAACTTCAAGTTCAGTTGCAGTTAATAGATATTTAGTTAATAGAATGTTACTTAAATATACTAAGCATCTAAAAAGCATCTACAGTGGACCATCCAAATAAAGTGTTACCATCATAATAATAATAATAATAAGAGTAATTATAAGAAGTTAAAGCTAAAACATTACACTGTTTATGCAAATCTAATGAGTAAAATATAAGTACAAGTGACTTTGGCGCTAGCCTAAATAGGTTTTTACCATCGCTGGGAGCTGTTACTGCAGTAATTTGGTTAACTGGGCACAGGCCTACTCGCTAAAACATAAAGTCATATTTTTATATGTCTCATTAAGCACAATTTGTAATGTCATTTAAAAGACAATATTCTTTTTTTTTTTTAACTATAACAGTGTGAACTCTGTTATAACAGAATGAGCATTACATCTATGTTTCCACCTTTTACATGTTTTTTTTTATTACATCATTGTGCACCAGAGAAAAATAATATTAACCAGTAATATCATGCTTGCCACCACCCCCACCTATCGAGAGAAACCCTCAGCTAGCACTCTGATACCGAATGTCCTATGATTTATTCATGTTGACTTCAAAAAGACCTATTTACATTGCATTTCTAATATTCTCCGGAACACTAATCCAGAGAACAGAAGGCCTCTGTGGGCGCTGTACTAACAACTGACCAAACGTTTAACCTTAAAAGGGAATTCCACTGATTTCTCAACATTTTTGCACAATTCAGTAATTGAGATGTAAAGAAAATCATTCTGAATGGTTTGATGTGAAATGCACCATTTTAGACACCTAAGGAGTCTGAATTGTTCACAGTGGTTATCATAGTAACCAGACATCTGAAGAGTTTAATGCCTCTAAGCGCTCCCTCATGGAACGCTTGTGTATGAAATGGGACACTGCTTCATTGTAAGTTTGAGAAGGTTTTAGCCTAAAACATTTTAAATCTATTTATAGCAGAGAGGTAAATGTTTTAAGGCAAAGAATACATAGCTTTTCAGATTTTTTACCATTATCAACATTATATATAAAAACTACATATATAGAAGACACGTGTAGATTCACTGGTGGCTTTGGATAGTAAATAAACTGGCTATATTTGTGTCATCATGACCCCTGGTTCCTATCACCACCACTGTAAAGACATCTTAGTCTGCAAGTTTCTCTACAAGGAAACATTTCCCACTCTGAATGACTTTCTTTACATCTCACGATAGAATTACACAGAAATTCTGAAATATCAGTGGAATTCCCCTTTAACAGTGATTCCTGATTTGAGCTTTAAGTGAGGATAATGTAGTGCAGCATGGAAGGGATGGGATGAGGCAGAGCCGGTCATTAACCTGTGACTTTTTCTCTTTGTGGCTTCTGTGGTGTCTCTTTCCCTCTGCTCTTTGTCGCCCCCTGTTGTAGAGGAGGCGTACAGGAGGAAGCTGAAAGACAAATGTAAGCAAACGGCTGACAAATGCTTCAGATGCGCATCTTGGTGCTGCACTGCTGCGATGCCTAATTCACACTGACTCGCTGTCAGGCTTGTCACACCCATCTCATCAACTGCTGTGTGTGTGTGTTTGTGTGTGTGTGGGAAGACTGATTCATCCACACTGTCACACCCTGCAGCACACACACATCCACTCATTGCTTTTCCATTAGCTGTGTGTGCTAATTCTTCACCCTGTACTCTGCTAATACTGGTGCTGCAGACATGCAGGCTTTTCATCAGTAAATCTGTATTGAGATGCCTACTGAATGGGGTGGGCATTTCAGTCAAATTTTATATTCAAAATTCTTAAAAAAAACAACCCCCCAATGGAAAAATGCCAAAATGCTACCACATGCTGGGCATATTAGGCCAAAACAAAGCACTGCTGAGTATCTTATTATCACTGTACTATACCGAACCCAGACTATAAATCCGTAGTAGCTGCAAGATGGGGAATTCCACCAATTTTAAAAAAATTCTGCATAATTCAGTCATTGAGATGTAAATAAAATCAAGTGATTTGTTGTGAAGTTTCAGTGCAGAAACGTACCGACACACATTTCTTTACAGTTTTCTTTAAAAACTTGTTTTCAGATGTCATTTGACTGGACATGTTCAAACTTTTGAGTACGACTGTATATCTCAGACACGTTTAACATTTGATACCTCACAGTTCATACGCTGCATTCGGTGGGTTTCGTTCATGGAAATTCCAGTCTGTGACCGAGCTCTGAACAGGAAAGTGTGTTTATGTTCTCATGCGTATGCATTCCTGACCTTACAGAAAAGCATCTGACCTTCTGGCATTTTAAACCTGGGGGAATGTTCACCACCCACAAACCCAGTCTGTCCTGAAGCCTGTAGGAATGAAAGAGTGTAAACCCTCAGTGTGCATTGTGCTCTTTTTGTGTTCCAGATGTAGAACTGCAGAGAATGAAAATCGGGATGGAGTCACTGCTAGCAGCGAATGATGAAAAGGTACGAGCACTATAAGATAGATAGATAGATAGATAGACAGAACTTTATTGATCCCGAAGGGAAATTGCAGTGTTTCAGTAGCAAGACATATTTAATAATTGCACATAAACGTACATATACTCTGCAGAAAACAAAAAATAGAAATAAACCTAGACATAAGTTAAAGTACAAGCAAAATAAAACAAAAGTATATCTATTTGCATGTTTACATGGCATATGAGACAGATTTGTTGTATTTACATGATAACAGGTGCTGAGTAGTATGAGGTAAACTAAAAGCACAATGATTATAGACATAACTAACTCGGAGTTGCATCAATATTACAGTGTAAAGTGCATAGTGAAAGTGTCATTACAGTAGTAGTTATGATATACTGCACAGTGTGTATAATCAGAGAGGAGATACAGTGATGTGGTTCAGCACAGTTCAGCACAGCAGGAGATCAGTACCATCTCTGCAGTAAGGAGACTCGTTGTAGAGCCTTATAGACATGGGTAAGAAAGATTTATAGCAGTGGGTAAGGGCAGTACATACTGGTTTTTTGCTTAGTTCATCATAGAATTTTTCTGTTTTTGGCTCAGTATGTGCTGAAAGAATCAGACAGCACAAGCACTGTTTCAATTAAATGTTACTTTAATGCTCTCAAGACAGCACAGACACATTCTGACAAAACATAAGATTAATTCGTAATGTTGAAATGGTAAAATATTACACTGTTTATTAAAATGAAATGAGTGAAATATAAGTAAAATTTACTCTTGCGCTAGCCTAAAGTTTTTACCATCACCGCGCTTAGGCCTAGTCCCTAAAAACATAAAGTCACACTGAGCACGATTTGTAATGCGTTTTAAAAGACAAAATTCTGTTTTTATGCATAAAATTGTTTAGTCTGTAAATGTAATTCACAGCAGGGGGTTCTCACTCCTCCCCTTTCACCCATAATTGCTCATTAGCAGCTCAACACAGAGTCAAAACAAAGAGACAGCAGTGTCCTGTTTAACCCCTTAAAATCCCAGGTTTGTTACCTACTAAGGCTTATTATTCGGTAACTACAGGGACTTCATTGCAAACTAGTTGAGCTGTTCTAGAAGGCTCTGAGGTTATAGAAGTGTGTAATAAAATGTTGCATTTTATGAGCATTTAAAAAGTTTAACTGATAGCAGAGTTATGCTGAAAAAATGTTATATTTGACTATATTGATTAAACATACCTGAGTTGATTTCCATTCCTTCCACTATGGGGGTGGAGTGCAGAATGAGATTACACAAGTTCTGTATGATTTTTTCCATATTTGTAACTGTCTTTTTGAGGATCCTGCACTTTAAATGTCTCATCTACATGGTGTTTAGTCCATTCAAGGGACTGAGTATGTGTTCTGCTTCTGTCCTGCCCAGGATCGTCACATAGAGGAGCTCACAGCACTCCTGGCCCAGTACAGGAAAGCCAAAGATATTATGGCCTTCTCTCAAGGTAACACACTCAGATCTCAACACACATTTAAAAACTAGTAATCTCAAGTAGACTCTCTGAGTGGTGCACCTGCAGTATGATACACGCTTATCTCTCTTTCTCACTATAGTGCACTCAAATCCTCTCATTTACTCTCATCTATGATCTCTCTCAGTATGGTTGGCCATCATCGCTCTGAACAGTACATTGTATCATCATCTGTAATATGTAACAAGCTATTATGTCAGATAAACTGTCACATAACATAATTTGTATTGCAGAAGCAGGATTCACCAGACAGATGCACATTTTTTTTTTTTTTGCATGGCGGATGACATAGTTTCTTTACCTCTGAGCTGCCTCTCTCTCTCTCTCTCTCTCTCTCTCTCTCTCTCAGTAGTGTGTGGTGATCGTTTGCTGTGTGGCAGCAGTGAGGAGGACCTGAGTGGGGCCCTGAGACTGCGACCTTTGGCCCATAAAGCTCATTCTGACATTGTGCGATCTGACCTGCAGGTTCTTGTCCACCCTACCTGTCCTACCCAGCACTGATGACCATTGCTTTATGCAGGCTTGTATAGAGATCAAACAATGCCTACCTTAAGTCAAGCTGAATCAGCTACTTTGGTCATTATTTAGAATTGACACTGGCCTTAGGATATATGATAAGGGGTGACCAGGGCCCCAACCCCAGTCATGCAAAGAGAGACAGTCAGCAACCATCGATAGAGCAGTCACCAGAGAAATGATCTCCTACCTACTCAGTGTGAATGTTTACACTTTACAGTGAAATCTGCCATCAGGAGAGTTACCAATATGTTATAAGAGTCAGACGATGCTGCACTCAGTAATCGGCCAGTCATTGCTCTGATAGGCTACTTTGCTGAGCAAACAGATGAGTGAATGCTGGTCAAAGCTTTAACATCAGCTTTGTTCATTGTTTGTTTGTTATTTTATAATTTTATTTTTTTCCCGAGTAGTTTGCCACATAGGGCTGAGCAATATAGAGATATTTTATTATCATGCTAAATTACATCACAGTATGCGTTTCTGAGCATATTGGGGACATTGTCAGCACTTACAGGGCACCCACTGCATGCTTCATTACAAAGAGAGCATAATTAGCCCTGCACAGTTGGATTTAATGAATAAAAATGAATTCATACAATCAGAATCAGGCTTTATTGGCCAGCTATGCTACCCCAATTCCAAAAAAGTTGGGATGCTGTGTAAAATGTAAATAAATGTAAATAAAAACAGAATGCAATGATATGGAAATCTCATAGAGCCATATTTTATTCACATTTAGAACATAGAAAACATGTCAGTTGTTATAAATGAGACATTTTACCGTTTCATGAAAAACATTAACTCATTTAGAACATGATGGCAGCAACACACCTCAAAAAAGTTGGGACAGGGCCGTGTGTAGCATCCCCTCTTCTTTTAACAACAGTCTGTAAACGTCTGGGAAGTGAGGCGACCAATTGCTGGAGTTTTGGGAGAGGAATGTTGTCCCGTTTTTGTCTGATGTAGGATTCTAGCTGCTCAGCAGTCCTGGGATTTTTTGTTTCATGAAGCGCCAAATGTTTTCTATTGCTGAAAGGTCTGGACTGCAGGCAGGCCAGTTCAGCACCCGGACTCTTCTTCTGTGAAGCCATGCTGTGGTGATGGATGCAGTATGTGGTTTAGCATTGTTTCGCTGAAATATGCAAGGCCTTCCCTGAAAGAGACGCTGTCTGGGTGGGAGCATATGTTGTTCTAAAACCTCTATATACTGTTCAGCATAGATAGAGCCTTTCCAGATGTGTAAGCTGCCTACACCATAGGCACTAATGCAACCCCAAACCATCAGAGATTCAGGCTTTTGAACTGTGCGCTGATAACAAGCTGAATGGTCCCTCTCCTATGGAGTCTGCAGGACACGGCGTCTGTGATTTACAAAAACAATTTCAAATTTTGATTCTTCTGACCACAGAACAGTTTTCCATTTTTCCTCAGTCCATTTTAAATTAGCTTTGGCTCAGAGAAGATGGCGGCGTTTCTGGATCGTGTTGACATATGGCTTCTTCTTTGCATGATACAGCTTTAACTTGTAATTGTGGATTGCACTACGAACTGTGTTCACAGACAGTGATTTCTGAAAGTGCTCCTGAGCCAATGCAGTTTCCAGTACAGAATCATGCCTGTTTTCAATGCAGTGCCGCCTGAGGGCCTGAAGATCACGACTATCCAGTATTGACCGTCAATTTCTCCAGATTCTCTGAATCTTTTGATGATATTTTGTACTGTAGATGGTGGGATATCCAAAGCCTTTGCAATTTTACGCTGAGGAGCATTTTTCTGAAATTGTTCCACGATTTTTAGATGCAGTTTTTCACAGATTGTTGAACCCGTCTTTGCTTCTGAGAGACTCTACCTCTCTAAAAAGCTCTTTTTATACCCAGTCATGTGAGTTAGTTACAAATTGCTCCTCCAGCTGTTTTTTTATTAGTACCACTTACTTTTCCAGCCTTTTGTTGCCCCTGTCACAACTTTTTTGAGATGCGTTGCTGCCATCAAGTTCTAAATGAGTTAATGTTTTTCATGAAATGGTAAAATGTCTCACTTTCAACATCTGATAAGTGCTCTGTGTTCTATTGTGAATGAAATATGGGTCTATGAGATTTGCAAATCATTGCATTCTGTTTTTATTTACATTTATTTACATTTTACGCAGCGTCCCAACTTTTTTGGAATTGGGGTTGTAGTTTACATAGTAATGTTTAAACACATTACTGGTTCTTTTTTTGTTTGTTCCAACCCATCAAAAAATGGAATATTGTGATACAAATCATGTATTATGCTAATGTCTTCAATTATTGTTATATTGAATTTTTGCCATATCACATGCCCCTATTGCCACCCCACGAAAATCACTGGGTCTAAAATTGACACCCCTCTGAAAATGTTCTGGCTATACCCCTGCTTCCGTCCAGCTGTAATTTAGATTTCTGACTTTATGCTGATATAACAAGGGAAAAACAAAGATACGTTAGGTTCCCACACTTAAATTTAAGATGTGAGCATATAGAGTATGCGGTACTGTTTATATGAATGTATTTTTGTTTATGTAAAGCAGTTATAATTAAGTTACAATTTACAGTTAATACCATAACCACTTCTGTTCAGTGAGGACACTGAATAGGCAGAAAGTAGTCCTGAAATAAACTAAAGTTACATACAAAAGCTCTTCAGGCTAAATATGTGCACAGTAATAGCTTTTAATACCAGATTAAAATCTGTACACTGTGTTATGGAGTGTTTTTTTTTTTTTATTCGTAGATGTCGACACCTCGAGGACCTTCTCCGTTCCTACTGCCTCCAGTGTGTCTACAGAAAGACCTGGAGTCCAAGTGAGGATCACCTACACACACACAAACACACAATAACGTGTCAGAACCTGTATGTAATTATAATATGTCCTGTATGTATTATACAGAGGTAAATAGAGTGGTCTAAACCCAAAATAAAAGAAAAATAATGTTACTTCTGTGAAATACTGACTCGAGTAGCAGTAAAAGTACCTTTCCAAAAAGCATGAGTCAAAACCACTACAGTAACTAGTTACTACCCACCTGGCCTATTAAATACATAAGCCTATATGCCTATATGTACATCAGTGCCTTGCTCAGGTTGGCAGGTGATCATATTTTGGCTCATTGGCATCTGTATAAATACATATGTAGAAAAGGACATTTTGCTGGTGCTGTTGGCCCTGTTTGTCTCTAGTTTTACTACAAAATCAGAACATTTTTGTCCTGAAAAATGTACAAGTGCACACACACACACAGGGAGCAGCTGGGATCGGAGATCTCTGGAGGGAGGACGACTGAAACGTGTCTCAAAACACACATTTTCTTTGGAAAACAAGCATTTTCTCCTGCGCCTCCTGCACAGCTCCGTGTCCCGACCACTCACCCTGAGTTAACATGGCAGTTCATGCTCTCTTTCCTCCTTTCTCCTCCATTTCCACCTTCCTAATTCTGTTTCTCTCTCTCACTTGTTCTTGATGTATCCCAGCTGTCACGGTATGCAGACCTCCATGGAGAATTCTGTGCTATGCCCTGGTGACACAGCCTTTCACAACGGACAGCGGTAAGTAGAGTTGATTTGTGTGTGTGTGTGTGTGTGTGTGTGTGTGTGTGTGTGTGTGTGTGTATGTGTGTGTTTGTGCTGATAATTGATATCACTGAATATCACTTCAGTTCTCTTTCATGCGCCACATGATTTTTAAACTGCTTTGCCTTTACTATTTATTTTGTTCAATATTTCAAATTTATGGTCAGTTCAAAAATGTACACGATAGAAACGCCTGCACTTACAAACAAGGCCTGTACTAACAGAACATTAACTACACAGCCGTAAGCTCAAGTGGGCTTTTATGTTGCTACTTTAAAGACCCCAGATCGATCGCTTTTTCCTGAGGGCTGGCTGTGATCACTGTCTCTGTCTACAGGTCAACGCAGAGGATGCTGTCTACTAGTTTAGAGGAGTTACAGAGTGGATCCAAGCTGAGGGTTTGTAATATAATGCCTTTAATCGAAAATCCCCTGTTTATTTGACACATGAACTCCTTTTCTTGGTTGTGATGTAGTGCAAAACCTGTTTGTAACTTGGACTCAAATGAACACAGCTGATATTCATGTAGTAGTCATGTATGAAAGAGGAAGTATTGTTGAAGCACTAACCCCTTTGAACAACCCATATAACACCACTCACTTAACTCAGCTTAACTCAGCATAACTTTCAGGTTTAAACTTTTTAAACAATTTCATAACAAATGAAACTTTTTAGACAATTTCATAACAAATGTAACTATTAACCAGACTGTATCTGCGCTTTACATAGTAAACTAACTGTGTGTGTGTGCATGTTTTTTTCCTTGTCTGTGTCTCTTTCCTTACCCAAGCATGTAATGGGCCAACCAGTAGAGCCTGTTCTAAAGGTACTGCCTCAAACAAATATTAACTCCTAACGTCTAACAAACTAAAGCTCAAGAAATAAACGCATTAAATGCCTCTTTATATTCCAGCCTGTGTTCATTTCCCTGATAGCTTTTTTACCAGCTCAGTCCTTCACGCCGCAGGCTACACTTTCACTCTGATTTGATGTGTTAGTTAACTGTTTAAACCAGGCATGTCAAACTGGGGACCGTCTGGGCTGTGATCACTGTTTAAACACATTTGTGTTAAAACTTCAGACAGTTTGGCTTTTGTAATGTGAAAGCAAATTAATTTATAATAAACTGAAGTGCAAATAAATTAGTTAAACGTAACATGCTGCTGGTTGCATAGACAAGAAAAACGGCTGAGAAGAAAACACTGAGAGTGGCATTTTAATTGTTTTCCCCCTCTTGTGTATGTAATAGAATCGGCATGTTTCGGACAGCAGTAAGTACCGGACACTGCCCGGGGAAGTTTTCTCGTCCGGAGCAGAATGGAGAGAGGGATCAGTACCCTTCTCCACTCCAGCTATCACCCGATGAGAGTGAGGACAGCGAGGTCAACCTGAGTAAGTGCTTATTTAAACAAGACAGTGACGCTGCTTCTGTGCACAGGTTTATTCCTGTAAAAATACAGACTGGGACTGTGTGAGGATTAAACTGAGTGCCTCTGAACTAACTACAGCTTTGCTAAAATAAGCACTCACAATAGCATCTTTGTAATCCTGCAAACTCCCTGAATGTCTATTCAGTATGGATTAGGTAAACCTGAGGAGGGAATGTGATGTAAATCATTATCATTGAGACCTGTAGTTTTATTCTGGCCTGAGTCTGCAGCGTGTGTAGCTTTTGCAGACTGACAGTAATTGGGGGGTAATTTTAATCCCGTATGAATTTGTACTTTGTGTAGAGTTTACAGTCTGACGGTAATAATTGTGGAGTGTTTTTAGTCCAGTATGAATCTGCAGTGTGTGTAGTTTTACAGTCTGACGGTAATAATTGTGGAGTGATTTTAATCCAGTATGAATCTGAAGTGTGTGTAGTTTTTACAGTCTGACAGTAATGATTGTGGAACCTTGAGCTCCATCAGTAATAGTACCCTTACGGCCATACTGCACATTGTTGTTATGGAGTGTGTCCTTTGGAGTAATGCTGACATCTGGGCTTTGTCATTTTAATCTGGCGTATCTGTGGAAATTTGGGACAATTACAAGGATACTTCATGAACCGGTGGGGTTACATTACACAACCTCTTCTAGTAAAATTCAAACATGCTTTAATCTTTCATGTATGTGACTGTACAGAGTTTAAATCCCAAGAACTGAATTAACCGCTGCATGTCTAACATCAGTTATTTATACTTAAAGAAAACTGTATATAAGCGCAGACTTGCTTATGACTTGCTTTTCCTATTACCTTTACTCTCCCGTTTCTAAAGCTTCTTTGGTTTTGCATGGGCTTCTCTTGCTTTTCTCTCTCACTCTCTGTCTCTAATCCTTCTCTCCGTGGCTGTGGCTGTCTCTCCTCTCCTCTCCTGGCTGCTGTGTGCTTGCTGGGTGTGAAGGCCGTTGCAGGAGTGCCAGCGCTCCAGCGTTAGGTATCGTACTCTCGCTCTAACACTCACAGCGGCTGTAAGGCACTCTGGTTTTGTCACGGTGGATTTAAGCCCTCCTCTCTCTGCTGTGTTTGTTGGGGGTGGGGGTGAAAGAGCGGAGCTCAGAGGGAAAATGTAGGCAGTGCAGATTAGGACTGGCTCACTGCTGCCATGCGAGGAGCCAGAAACAGGAGAGTCTCAATGAGTCATAGACAAATTTGACATAGACAAATTGTTTTATACAAGTGCCACCAGCTTTGTAATTACTGACTCTGTAAACATGTTACGTCAGTATGAGTTATCACTGATAGCCTTCATTTAATTGACATTTACTTACTTGAGTTTTAAGCCCTTAAGCTCTACAGGCTTATATACAGATAGGCCTTAGTTCGGACTCTGATTAGCACATATTTTCAAATTAGGTTCATAATAATTACTGTATAATGTATAGTGGTAACAAAATAGTAAGTCTTAAGATTAATATTTGCATAATAAACCTGCAGTCAAAGGCTAACTGCATATGACTTGGACCTCTGACATGTCACTTACGTGGCATAATATCAGTTTTCCAGGAGACACATATACTTCTATCAGAATAAAGCAGGCTCTGTTAAACAGCTGCAGCTATCTCTTCACTCTTCACATCAGGGGAAGCACAAGGTCTTTGCAGCCAGTAGGTACAGATTATATCACTTGAATCAGGGGATCAGAGCCACGAGTCTGCATAGTTTAGAGCCTTTACTGAAAATATGCTTGCTTTGAATTTACTTGATTCAAATATGCACTTAATTTCTACATAAATGACATGCCCAATAAAATTCATGCCAAAAGTAAATTAAGCAGTAGTTGTGTTGATGTAATGTATTTCATTCACATGGAACCAATGTATACACTCTTTAAAAAGACGGTTCTTCAGGGGTTCTTTAGTAAAGAAAATGGTTCTGTGTAGCTCCATGAACAATCAAAGATGAGAAGGGTTCTTTTCATCAAGAAAGTGTTCTTCAGATTGACGAAGAATCTTTTGTATATGGTTCTATATAGAACCTTTTTGAAAACCAAAAGGTTTCCTTCAACTGTTATGATGTCAGGCTTGTAACAACAGAAGAACTCTTTTTTTGGTGATATACAGAACCCTTTTCAAAAGGGTTCTATACAGAACCATCTAAAGCACATTCTCCATTAATCATTTCACGATGCAAAGAAACTTTAAACATTCAAAGGGTTCTTTGAGTGTTCATTGTTCTATATATAACCATTTATTTACTAAAGAACCCTTGAAGAACCATCTTTTTAAAATCTGACACATTAAATTCAAATCAGCATTTTTTTAGAGTTCCCTGCATCAACTCAGCCAATATAGCTCATCTGTTCAGCTCAGCAGTTCCCCCTCTTTCTCCAAGTGTAGTAAATCAGTCGAGTTTGATGTCTGAAGTTGGCTTCTTTAGTTTTGTACTGGAGCTATGAGGCTAGTGTTGCTAACAAGTAATGGAAGCTTGTGCTCCACCAGCTAGCACTGTGTAGACGTAATGCGTAAATCAGGGCTCGGCACCATGCAGCTCCAGAGCCGTATGCGGCTCTTTTACTGCCCTGTTGCGGCTCCACAGCAGAATTAGATTTTTAGGTAAAAAAATAAAATAATCCTCCTTTGCAGTAAAATAAAGCTCTGCTGATCGTTGGACTTATTTGCATTTATAATCACTCCAGCTGGTTTCCTGACACGTTTAATCTGCAATGAGAAACTGTCAAAAACTAAAAACTAAAAATTCTGATTTCTCTATAGCCGAATTATCCAATGGCCATTTTTTTGGCTAATGTAACCCATTTAAAACCTGAAGCTCTCAATATGTGGACGAACTGAATACTTGAAACACGCTAGCACATTTCCTGTTCTTTCTATTAACCAAAGTCTTAATATAACAATGTTATTTGCTTTTTAATGGGCCAAACTGGCATTTTAAATTTAAAATTCCAGTTGTGCATCTCTAATAAAAATGGACAAAAGTACATGTAGTTCAGTTCATCTCATGCTTTGGGGTGTAAGCTTCCATTACCTGTTAGCTACATTAACCTCACAGCTCCAGTGCAAAACTAAAGAAGCCAACTGACTACATTTGTGGTACGGGGGGGGAAAACTGTGTACATAGGATTGTTGCTGAACTATCACTTTAAGCCCCTCATGACGTGTATAATAGCAGCAAAAGCGCTAAGCTGGATTCATCTGATTTAGCTTAGTCAACAAAATGTGTTTAACTGTGTTTGTAATGCAGTTGCTTCCTCCTTTTTTAGGAAAAACAGAGAAGGCTGATGAGTCCACGCTGTCTGACCTGTCGCCCATGTCATCAGGCATTGACTCAGGCCATCAGTCGCCAGTTTCTCCGGAGCATAAGAAGAACCAGAAAGGCATCCGGAAGCTGTGGGGAAAGTAAGGAGTGCATTCCTGCTGTAGACTAACACCCAGACCTGTTTCCGTGAATTTGTCTCTAACGCAGATTCTCTGTCTTAATGCTTTTGGATTGTTGTGTCTTTGTGTCGTAGCAAATTTGCATTAATTTAGACACTGTGAGAAGATTTATGCATATGATTGCAAATCTATGCAAATAATTCACAGCCTTAATACAAGTACAAGTATGCAAGTGTGAATATTATACAGTGTGCAATGTAGTATAATATGAAATATGTGCATAATTATACAGTATGCAGTATAGTATTAAGATTTTGTCACATGAAAGAGATTAAAAAAAAGGAATTTTGCATAATATTATTATTTAATAAACTTATTTGAATTTGAAAATATTTGATAATATCAGTTTTCAGGCCGGGGCTTTCCCAAGTTAGTAATGAGTAATTTGATAATTTGACTTATTTTTAAGTATTATTTATGTATTTTTCATACTGTATTGAGTATTATTTTTGCTTATTAGTAATATTTTTCTTGCTTTTAAACCAGCACCACTTATTACACACACACTAGAGACGTCTCTGGTAGCACCTGGCTGTCAGTCTGAGATGATGTTGTTATGGCTCTCAGTCCAGTTTGTGGCATTGCCACTCAAATCCAGCTTCATTTCCGCCCCTCTTTACACACCTGACCATCAGAAACCCACCAGCAGTTCCATCTGTCACTGCAGCTTCACCTTTAGTTCCACCTGTCAGTGCTACTGACCCTGAACACTAATTAACCCCACCAGCCCACCGTCAGAACACAGGACTTACTCTCTGATCTCTAATTAGACTGATCGTCAGACCTGTCATATACAATCCACTTACTTCATCATTTGTACAGTACTATTATATTCGGGAGCAATTATTAAATAGTATGCAGTATATTCATTATATAATAGTGTTTCAATGATTATTAGGCCTATGTATTATGAAGAATATTAATAGCATGATAAGAGAATATTAGAAGACAAGATATTCTGGAGAAACACTGTCTATGTGGTCGCCAGGTGTCTGAATCAACTTGATTGCACTTAATAATAACAGTTGCGTGCAGGATAGTAATTATGTGATAAGATATACATTTACTGCCTTGTGGTTGTAAAGGTAGGTTAACTTTCACATATATGTGTCCCTCCGTCAGGATCAGAAGGACTCAGTCCGGCAGTCTCCCTGCGGACAGTGTGGACAGTGCTGATTTCAGGAGGGGAGGCTTCAGAGCCACCACAGGACCTCGGCTGGCCTGCGTGGGCAGCACAGACACTGCAAGGTACAACTACAGCACACTTAAACACACAGTCAGGCTACAGCACTTTCAAAGGGGTCCATATCCTACATTATGACATTTGCGTGGTTTTATTTATCAAATAGATAAATAGATTAGTCATAAATGAGTTTTACATGACCGTTTTCAGTCTCTCTTTGTCCCCTAGAATTAAACAGCCTGTTTCTGTTAGTGTACTTTTAAGACTGATATACGTTCTGATTGGCTGCACTGAACTGGGCTTCATTCTAAAGAAAGAGTCCTTATAACTTCAGTGTGAATGTGCAGGCTAAACTGCTGTAGGCTGAATAGGTGGGATATGTGTAAATGTTTGTTTTCATGACATCATAAAACACACTGAATTCAAAACCAGTTGTTTTTACATATCTGGACTGTTTGGACTGAGGGGTGAACATTACTTTTTGAAAAAATGTTTACATGCATCAAACGCAGTACAGTTTTCAGTGATATGTGCCCTTAATGTTTGGGTTTATGTCCCAAAAACAGTCATAATTCATTTTTATATGACCATTTTTCATCCTTAAAAGTATAGTTTGGTTATAGCTTAAAACAGATTGTAATTCTTGTATTTCTGTTCTAATCCTCAGCGATGTGAACACTCCCTTCTCAAAGTGGTCATGCGATCAGGTGTGCACATGGCTGGACGATTATGGACTGGGACAGTACGTCCCCATGGCCAAACAGTGGGTCAGCAGCGGGCAGACTCTTCTCTCGGCCTCCCTACATGACTTCGAAAAGGTACAGAACACTGCTTGGCCAGACTGAAAATCTACATTATAATCTTTCCAAGTGGTGTGTCTCAGTATGTGTATGTGTATATGTGTAGGTAATTATCTAATGTGCTGCTTGTATAGCCTATTATTAGTACAGTATTTTGTATTGTATACATTTGTCAATCAATCATAGATTAGAATTGTTAGATTATAGAAGAAAAGAACATTATTGTGTTAAGAGTTTGGTTAAATAAAGGCTAAGCAATAAAAAATTAATGTGTAAAAAGAACAAAAGAAAGATAATTTGCGTAATATTTGCACTTATTTGAATTCAACAATATTCGATAATATCGGTTTCCCCAAATTAGTAATAGGTACTCCAATCAAAAGGTTTGCTAGTATTGTTTAGAATTATTAGTAGTCGGTTTGAAATTGACTAATTTGTAAATATTATTTATGTATATTTTGATTTTGCATGTGGAATAATAACACTTACTAAGTATTATTTTGATATATTAGAAATATTGATGTTTTTTGTGCCCACATTATTATTACCAGCACCTCTCATTACACACACACTAGAGACGTCTCTGGCAGCACCTGGCTGTCAGTCTGAGATGATGTTCTTATGGCTCTCAGTCCAGTTTGTGGCATTGCCACTCAAATCCAGCTTCATTTCTGCCCCTCTTTACACACCTGACCATCAGAAACCCACCAGCAGCTCCGTCTGTCACTGCAGCTTCACCTTCAGTTCCACCTGTCAGTGCTGCTGACCCTGAACACTAATTAAACCCACCGGCCCACCGTCAGAACACAGGAGTTACTCTCTGATCTCTAATCAGACTGATGATCATTTCCTCTTACTTCAATTGTTTACTTGATCATATGTGGATAATTATACAGTGTATTATATTTGAATGCTACAGTATGGAGAATAGCAGTAATAGCATTATTATTAAATTATTGTACAATAAATTAGTATTATAATAAATTAAAATGTATGTGAATGTGTTCAGACTATTAATAATAATGTGATGATGTGAATAATTATTGTTCATTAAGTATAGTAACACATGATGGCACGATTACATGTAGCAAATGATCAGACAGTGGGGGGTGGAAAATACATGACAATACCAAAACACAAGTAATTCTGCTTTATTTCTATACTTAGGAAGATTTGGCTTTTAACTATTGTTAAGCATTATTTTAGAAGATTTGACTTTAACTATACTTAAGCATTATTTTAGAGGATTTGACTTTTTAACTATACTTAAGCATTATTTTAGAAGATTTGACTTTAACTATACTTAAGCATTATTTTAGAGGATGCGACCTTTTAACTAAAGCATTATTTTGGATGTTTTTACTTTTTAACTATACTTAAGCATTATTTTGGAAGATTTGACTTTTAAACCACACTTAAACATTATTTTAGAACATTTGATTTGTTAACTATACTTAAGCATTATTTTGGACGTTTTTACTTTTTAAGTATACTTAAGCATTATTTTAGAGGATTTGACTTTTTAACTATATTTAAGCATTAATTTAGAGGATTTGAACTTTTAACTATAGTTAAGCATTATTTTGGAAGATTTGGCTTTTTACTTTCATGGCATTTGGCAGATGCCCTTGTCCAGAGCGACGTACAATTTGATTTACACAGGTAGTACGAGGGTAGCATTAGGAGTCTTGCCCAAGGGCTCTTATTGGTGTAGTGTAGAGTGTTTGCCCAGTATACAGTGTAGAAGGCGGAGGTGTTACCCACTTGAGTATATCCACTTTTACTTAAGTAAAATTTTGATCCATACTTCCACTCAGATACAGTTTTTTACCCCTGACAAATGCACTTCACTGCAGTTGCTCTTGGAAAAGCTTCAAGGCTCCAGCATCACCAATCAGCACTGTTTTTAGGATGTATGATGATTTTAACAGTAGAGCTGCTGTGTTGAACCCAGACTGAGTGTTATGTGTGTTTATCAGGAGCTGGGGATGAAGCACCCACTGCACAGGAAGAAGCTGCAGCTGGCCTTGCACTCCTTCACCACCAGACTGGAGGAGAAATCCGCAGAACTGGACTATGTCTGGGTCACACGTGAGTTATTTAATGGTGTTTCCACATTGAACATTTAGTCCTATGCGGGACAATGAATAAATAGTAGAAGGGCGTTGGTAGCTGCACTCATTTTGCATGAGGACCATGAATGTCAAATATATTTATATATCTATATTTATATACACAACAAACCTCTCAGGAGATCTTACCTTAAAATTTTGAATTTTAAAGCATAAATAGTAATTTAACAGTTTTCAGACTTTTGATAGGCTGAGTTTCATGATGTATACTGTATTATGATATATAGTTTAGTCTCAGTACTTTGTGTACATGTTGTGGTTACACACTGATGTTTTCACAGGATGGCTGGATGATATTGGTTTGCCGCAGTATAAAGACCAGTTCCATGAAGGCCGTGTGGACGGGCGGATGCTACAGTACCTGACCGTGGTAAAGACCACAGACCACTGACTTCCACAGCTATAAGCCAAGCTTTTCATTGCATGCAGTGTCCAAATGACTCTGTTTGATTGTTTTCAGAATGACCTGCTGCTTCTGAAAGTGAGCAGTCAGCTCCATCACCTCAGTATCAAATGTGCCATCCATGTGCTTCACATCAACAAGTTCAACCCCAACTGCCTGAAGAGGAGGCCAGGAGACGAGGTGAGCTTCAAGAGAGCCTGAGATGGGAGTGCACTTGTGTGTGTCTTAGTTAGAGCTTCACTACCATTCAAAAGTTTGGAAACACTGTTTTCATTCATCTAAAATATGATTTAATATGTTAAAATGTATCATATTAAATATGATAAAATGTGATCATTAATATGAAAAATATATATATTGAGATTTAATCTCCATTTTTAAAATATGATGTAGTATGCATATTAATATTTAGTAATATTATTAGTATATATGTATAGTGGAAAAGTGGAGATTAAATCTCAAGGCATATAACTTATCAAGACATTACTGTACATTTATTACTTATTACAGTTATTTATTATTGAAGACCTTCTAATGGTTCCCAAACATTGCAATAACTCTGGCTCATAGTACACATAATACACACTGTGTATGTCATTATTGAATGATATAACAACAATTATCAATACAATAGGTGATTCCAATCTTTTCAATGATACTGTTATACTAGCTGACCCTTTTCTGTTTGTTTCCATGTCAACCGAAAAAAGACATCACAAAAGTAAAGAAATTGTATTACAACAAGGATCTGCACTGAATATCTCGCATTTTCAATGAGCTACAAGTGACAACTGCAATTCTAAAGGTTAAAATCCCCTTCTACTCAGTGTGTGCTCGTTACTAATGCTCTTTCTGTGTGTTTCTGGCAGGCACAGATGCAAATGTCCCCCTCAGAGGTGATGCAGTGGTCTAATCACCGTGTGATGGAGTGGCTACGGTCAGTGGACCTGGCTGAATACGCACCCAACCTGCGGGGCAGCGGTGTTCATGGTGGACTCATAGTGAGTAACATAATGCACACTTATGACTGGAAATCTAAGATAATTTTTTTCTGTTCAATTAAAGAGGGCTTTTATTTTGTAGCATAATATGGCTTTACGTGTAGTCACAAAGCTCCACTGTGCTGAATATTTTCCCTGCAGTGCAGTGCAGGAATCTGCTGATTCCCAAGCACTGATCTGAGCCACGTTTTTAGCATCATGACCTTCAATGTGCATATTTTGTTATAACAACTATAATCAACCACATGAATCTTTGTTTGATTATCATCTGCTAAACTATATAGAGAAAAAGGCACAACATGAACTAACCTGTAGTGCTTGAGTTTACATAGTCTTAGTTATACATTAGAATTAATACAACTGGCCACTTTATTAGAAACCCCCAGCTTGTAGCTCTGCCTTCCTGGTTTGCAAATAGAGATTGCAGCTGTTGATGCACAGTTTGTGTAAGCCATCGTCTAAACCTTCATCAGTGGTCAGTTTCTAACCACTGAGCCACTCTTGACTGGATATTTTTGGGTGTTGACCACTCTGAACTACACTTGTACCTGCATCACACACACTACCATGTCAGTGTCACTGCTGTGCTGTGAATGATCCACCAGCCAAATAATATCTGGACAATGATGAATAAGGTCGGGGGGACTAATAAATTCTGCAGATGAGCTACAGTCTGTAATTGCACAGTGGACCTAAAAGGTAGAAGGACCTCATAAAGTGGACAGTAGCCACGTTTACATGCATCCTAACAATCCATTCATAATTGGACTAATAGCTCAATTGGAATAGAATACGTCCATGTAAACCCCTCAGTCGGAATAGGCTAGTCTGATTGAGGCCATTCAGAACACAGTTTCTATCCGTCTGATCGAGGTGGGTAATCCTGTAAATAATCAGTTAAATAGAAGAATAATAACCATGTAAATGCCTGTATCTGATTACATTCCCAATCGGAAAGTTTAAGTCCGTTTTGATCATGTTCGTCACGTCATAGTGAAAGTTTATACTGTTCAACGTGGCGGAGCAGAAACTGGTCTGCAGAGGAGACGAAGTTTATGCTCTGATCTTTAAAAGACGGTGGTGGGACGGACGTCCAGCTCATGTGTCTCAGAACACGACGTCTTCCTCTCGGCCTTCTTTAATAAAAACATATGAAGGACGTTTTCCTGAGTCTGACATCATTTTAAAGTAATTAAAAACACAAGCACTGCTCACTGCTGCTCATCTCACACTGACTGGACTCACGCGATGCTCGCTGTCATGGTAACGTTTACTCTAAATGGTTCTCTACACGTGTGTAATTTTGGATTGGATCACTTGTAATGTACATTTAAACAGAGATTTTCATCAGATTGTTGAGTAGAGTGACTATATAAACACTGCAGTCTTAATCTATGACCGGAATGTATTCAATCGGATTGGAGGTTGCAGGTAAACACAGCCAGTGAATGTGTGTTATATGAGATGTTTTCCTTTTCTTTTTTAATCAGATTTTGGAGCCGCGCTTTAACTCAGACACGCTGGCGATGCTGCTGAATATCCCTCCCCAGAAGACCCTGCTGAGGAGGCACCTTGCCACCAACTTCGGCTCTCTGGTGGGATCCCAGGCTCAGCTGGATAAACGCGAGAACATGGAGTCACCAGGATACACACCGCTCTCCACCACAGCTAAAGTTCGGGTACTGTAGCCTTCAGCTCCACTCAGCCTTGTTTAAATAGCGACTTTAAAAGCATCAGAAGGCAGCTTTGCGTAATATAAAAGAGTAAATAAAGAGTGGAAAATCTCTATGAAAGCTGTAAAAGCTCCTAAAAGCTCTCTTTGGTCCATGTATTATACTGCAGATGGGTGTGAATGCACGTGTTGGTCACTTTATAAATTTAAAGTAATACTTGTTGAATTTAAAGGAATAGTTCACACAATTTTCCCCTTATCCTGAATGTAGTTGATTAGCAGTAGTTTGGCGTATACACTGCGTGCGACTGCATACCCTCCAAATAGAGTTAATGCTAACTGCATGCCTCAAATTGTGTTGAGTTGTTAAATAATCATATAGACTTGCATATATGGTTTCTGATACTCTATGACATCTCAAAGCCTAAATTTTGTCTGTACTTTTATCCATGTTTATAGACAACAGTAGTATCAGAAACCTGTTTGAAGTTACTTAACAACTTGAGGCAAATGCGTGACAATTTGTCCATTGCTCATTAGCTGCTTTAGCCTCGTAGCTCCAGTGCAAAACTTCAGACACCAAACATGTCTTGGCTGATCAAATACGTTTGGGTTAAAGGGACACTCCAGCAAACAATGTCACCATAGCTACTTCTGTTTGTACACTGGCCACTTCGGGTTAAAACACTAGGAAACCCCTCATAAATCTGATGATGCATACTGAAGGTGGGAGGAAGCTTTGAAAAACTACAAGTGCTTTGGAACAAAAATCGAACGTGGACAATTTCAAATGATTTTTTTTCCACCACTAACCGGCTCATACAGAAGGAAGCCAGACAGCTAAAGTTACTGATAGGAAGCCGAATAGCATGTCTGTATTAATTAGCCTCTACATCAGTGGCTATGCTAGCAGTCAGGATTTCTTTATCACCATGAGGGGGATTCCCAGTGGTTGTGTGATGTAGAGCTGGGCAATCTGACAACATTTACCATGATTGTGATAAATTATGCCACAATATGTCACAATATGCTTTTTGAGCCTGACCAACTGCATGTTTGATTACCCAGAGAGCATAATTAGTCCTGTTTAATTGGGAGCTGAACAGTGTATGAAATGTTGAATACAAATCACTTCATTCAGTTTTCGTTAGTGTTTTTTAAATGTGATGCTGCTCTGTCTGTTCCAACTAATCAGATGTCAGAAAGAAATATATTGTGACATATTGTGTATCGTGAAAACGTATTGAAGTATCATGATATAAGATTTTTGCCATATCGCCCGGCACTAGTGTGACGTATTTTTATAACGCCTGCTGGGTTTTGTAGTTAGAGAACACTGGTGGAAGAAAACACAAAAAGGATACAAAAATGTGAATTCTGTCAAAGTGATGAACCTGAGGGATGCAGTGCTGCCCTGCAGAATGTTAAGTGCTAGTTTTAGGAATGCCCCTTTAAGGAGAAAATTGTGTACATTAGATTTTTTGCCAAACTATCACTTGAATTGACTTGAAAGCAAGACATCTGCCCCCTGGAGGTAGCGCAGGTACAGGCTCTGCTGAACGAGACCCAGCAGCCCTACACGGGCTTCGGGGGTCTCAGCCCCATCCTGGACCGGGACCCTGAGAGGCGGGAGCAGGTGGGGCCTCCACTCGGCTGAAGCTAAGCTAGCCAGCCCCCTCGAGCTTACTGCCAATTCCTTACCATTCCCCAGTCAGCTGAGCCAACTGCCACCCCCCCCTCTTTCCGTGCCATCATGTAATATCCAGCATCCCTCACTCACTATTTTACCGTACAACACCCTACACGTACCCCTCCACCAAAATTGGAAGACCTTTTAGCTCAAAACGTGAAAAAGGTTTTAGAGGCATTTAACTCTTCAGATGTCTGGCTCACCACCACTGTGGACAATTCTGACTTGTCACTGCATTTTTTTCTAAGAGATAAAAAGATATAGGTGCCTGTTTTTATGCATAAAAGGCAGCCCAAGAAGTAGTGAACCATTAGAGTCTCTTGAATTTAACCAGTTTCTGTTTTCGCTTTACAGCCAAAGAAGCTGGGTTTTTCCAATTTCGGCCACCTGCGCAAGAAGCGACCAGATGACTCCATGGACTACCTATGTCCCCTGGAGGCAGCGCAGGCACAGGCTCTGCTGAACGGGACCCAGCGGCCCTACACGGGCTTCAGGGGTCTCAGCCCCATCCTGGACCGGGACCCTGAGAGGCGGGAGCAGGTGGGGCCTCCACTCAGCTGAAGCTAAGCTAGCCAGCCCCCTCGAGCTTGCTGCCAATTCCTTACCATTCCCCAGTCAGCTGAACCAACTGCCACCCCCCCTCATTCCGTGCCATCATCTAATATCCAGCATCCCTCACTCACGGCCACGTGACATGTTACTGAGTGACAGCTAAACAGAGACATTTACACACGGCCATGTCGTTCGAACTGTGGATTTGAGGCTATTTACGTCCGAGTCTCTCTTGTGCCACTATTTATATTATTTTATGTGACGGAAAAATAAATGGCACATATCACATTAGATAAACTAACACTATTCCATTTTTACAGCCTCAACAAATTACTATCATTCTGTGCTGTAAGGACAGAGGGTTAATTAACTTGTGCAACATTTGCACATTTTAGGGATTTATTTAATATTTAAGGTGGTGAATTTTAGCATGCAAACAGATGATTTTTAACACATTTGGTAACAGTGTATATTTGCAATAGATGTTTCATACATTACAACATATTTTTATAGGTAGATAGATGTGCTGCTTCATGTAAAGAAACACTTTGTCCTCAAATTGTAAATATATATCACATAAGCCATGAGAAATAATGATCAATAAACCTCCTCCATCACTGTGATACTGTGTTTCCTTCAATGTGCAGAAACTGGCGTCTAGCAGACTCGATGTATTCTACATTTTCTACATTTTAACAAAATGTAGAAAAATGTACAAAACCTTTCCCTGTACTTTATAAAAACAAAAATCTGTTAACACAAAATTGACTTATAAAGGAAGCCAAAGACTTTCAGCAAAAGTGCTGATACAACTGCCTTCCATTACAGTTGTGTTTTAGTGACCAGCTTTTTTTTTCAATGTACAGGAAAAAAACACACAAATATTCCAGAATATTTGTCCAAAATTACTGCATAATTCAGTTGTTGAGATGTACACAGAGTCATTCAGAGTGGTTTGAAAACTTACATATATTGAAACTTACAGACTCTGATTTCTTTACAGTGGTGCTGATAGGAACCAGGAGTCGCCATGTCTACAACACAAACATAGCCATTTTATTTACTATCCGAAACCACCAGTGAACCTACATGTGTCTTCTGAGTTTTATATGTAATGTTGATGATGATAAAATACTGGTAAATGCAGAAAATTACAATTTTTGGGTACTATTTTACCTCACAACACCCTGCAGGTACCCCTCCACCAAGACTGGAAGATCTTTTAGCCTAAAAAGTGAAACATTTAAAGTTTAAACTATCATGAAACAATGTTTTAGCCATCAGGTAACTTAGAAATCAGGTTATTTAGAATCATTTTATGTAACGACTTTCTGTGAGGGAGCTTTTAGAGGCATTTAACTCTTCAGATGTCTGGTTCCCGTCTCCACCACTGAACAATTCTGTTTTGTCAAGTTTCTCTAGAACAGAGCATTTCACATCAGACCACTCTACATGACTGTTTACCTGTTAATAATTATTTTCTCCAAGAGATAAAGACATACAGGTGCCTGTTCTGATACATAAAACACACAAATGTTATAAGTGGACTTCAGAGAAAAACTAAAAAACGCTAAAAAGGTTGAATATGACCCCTTTAATATTGCTTTATTGATAAGTTGACTCAGTTATTGTCATTATTGAAGAACATTAGGAAGATATTGCTTGACATGCATGATTAACAAGCCTCATTCACTAACCTACTCTTACCAACGGATCCCCAAAAGCCAATTTTACCCAAGGTGGAGAAGTGCATGCTGGGAAAGGAGCATCATGCATCTTAGGGGAGGGGCTTCCATCTCCAGGTACATTTAGATACCTAGATGACATCATTTTTGCTTTCATTCATTGCCTGAGTTAATGAGACCTTCCACTGCTCGTGCTTAAGCAGTAATAACTCACCCTGTATGCCCTTAATACAGTTATGATGATGTGTTTTGTAGCTTTTATTGTTTGATGAATGGCTTGACTTTCCAGATGCTGATAACTAAAGGAGCAGTGATGCAGATAGAAGCTTTATCAGAAGGCATTAACCACCTCACAGTAAGTGCTCCTCTCCCGTCTGCTCTACTCTCTATGTAAATGATGCCTCATTAACGCCCTAATAGAGTTCATTTGTCGCATATTGGGCTAAACGTCTAAACCCTCTTATGTAATCCTACTTTGTGTGGTCACTAAATTAATCCACTAAGACTCAGAGGTCTGAAGTGACACAAGAAAGACTCTAACAAATTGTTGTGTTCGAAGTGGGTTCTCTCTCCTCACAGCAGCTGGATCCCAAAAGTTGTGTTATGTTAAAGGGGGATTCCACTGATTTTTCAAAATTTCGGTGTAATTCAGTCTTGAGATGTAAACAAAGTCTTTCAGAGGGTTTTGATGTGAAATGGTTCATTGTAATTGAAACAAAGGTTTTGTTTTGTTTTGTTTTGTTCAAAGTATTTAATTGCAATGAATAAAGCCAGTTAAATTGCTAACACATGAATTCGTTTTTGCAAGCATGCAACAATTAAACTCAATGTACATAATAATAATAATAAGAATAATAATAATAATAAAAGCAATAATATTTTTTATTGTTTTTTTTCTAGCACTTTTATGCCAGTGGCAGCTCAAAGTGCTTTACAGACAGGTGATAAAGCTTAACAGTAATATAAGAAATTATAAGTATTAATTTAGAATCATATAAGAAAATGACACAGACCAAATTAAAAGATAAATTGCTTGAGATGTAGAGTTTCAATTAAATTCTAAGAGACACGTTTTTAGATGCTTTTTGAAAGTGAGCACTGAGCTTGACTGTCTAATAAAAGGTGAATTGAGTTCCACAGTTTAGAAGCAGAATAACTGAAAGAGTCTCTCCGTGTTTTCTGTATTTTACAGAAGGTGTTTGTAGAAGGTCAGTATCTACAGATCTAAGGTTACGTTCTGGAACATAAGATATTCATAGACATTCTTTGATGTAAGCAGTGGTTTAAGGTCATTTGGAGCCTTAAAAACTAGTAGCATAACTTTAAAATCTATCCTTTATTAATATAATTACTTAGAAATGAGAGGCAGTTACTCAGATGTTTTAGTTCACACAGCCCTAACTCACTAATTTCTGTCTAAGAATGAAAAAAGGGGAAGGCCATCTCAGTCTAACTAGAAGTGGGGTTCAACATTTATTTAGTGGACCAACATTAAGTGCCCAATATCAAGCCCCTACCCAGCTTGGCTAAATGTTTATCCCTGCCCTGGAGTCCTCTGAGGACGTGCTGTAATTTAATAGTCATGTCCAAATAAGAAACTCTGGGTCAGTTTTTGTCTATTAGAGAAATATATAAACATTCCTCTGAATTATGAGGTCATTATAGAGACAAAATATATTATTAAATGCAACTCTGTATTGAACTGACATCATAAGGCTGGTGACCTGTTTAATGTGTTTTAAGTTGCTTTGACAGTTGTGTGTAATAGTGTTAAAGTACAGTAGTAGATTTAATTTCATGTGACGTTGTTTCAAAGCACAGGATAAGTGAAAGAAAACATTGGTTTTTTTACAGTATTGATTAGCATATCTACGTTGCTATTTATTGTGGCAAATATGAAAAATATGATTTCATTTGGTACTATTTTGCTTACAGCAAACCAGTACCTCTTCTTCAAAAAACAAATTTAACCCAGTAGTTTCTGTCAAAACTGTTAGAAAACAACGCCTCAGGCATCAGGCAGTGTATTCATAATCATACAGTGTAACAGCCTACTGTGAGGCAGCTTTTAGAGGCATTAAATGGTTTGGATGCCTGGTTCCTATCACCACCACTGTGAACAATTCTGATTTTGAAAAATCTTCTGAAGATTTCACCTCAAAGCACTTGGAATGATTTTGTTTACAGCTTAACGGTTTAATTATACAGAAATTTTGAAAAATCAGTTCCCCTTTAAAGGAAAACAACTGAACAAATGTGATTTTAGATCAAAACAAACAGGACAGACAACATCTTACTGTGTTAGTTATGAGTGAATTTAGCAGCATAAAAAGGAAAGAAACAATTCGGATATGATTATTTTTATCTTTTCTTTCAGCTCGTTTATTTGTTCAGCTCGGCTCTCGTTGGTTAACGTTCTTTCATGTATGACATCAGCGCAGCGTTTCTTATAATCAAATTTGTTTTACAGGATGTCGAGTCGTAAACACTTCAAAATCAGTCACGACTGGACTGTGAGTAGATTATACTCAAATTTGGACTCTACACACCAAACACCACTGTAATATCTGGGAAGATATTTCAGGAAGTCCTTCCTGAAATCTGGACACCTTTTGTGATTTCCGCAAAATCGGCCCGGATATTATCGTGGGCTTGGCATTAGATGACTACAAATGATGCATGACATCAGAGGTTTATAGCCCTGTTCCAATTTCCAAATAAGGCCTTAGCCTTAATTTCTACCTTGCATCATGAGCTACTACATTTCACATAGCTCCCTACTCCCTATGTAGTGCACTTCCCAATAAGTGCCTTCTCTGTACAGATGCCTTCTCTGCATTCGTGCTAAAGCAAGCTATTTCTGGTGGGCCGCTGTGAGGGGAGAACACCAGTAGGTTTACCCACTCAGTAGGCCTGTCACATTATATAATCCAGTGGTGAAAAGTGGCCATTACAGCTAGGCTCTCAATTCAGGCCATGAATGTCAAAACTGAAAAAACACCTCTACGATAATGCTAATTTCTGCTAGCGTCCCTATGGAATTCTAGTAGTTAGTTAGCACTAAGCTAACAATGATTCGCATGATCATTTTCTTTGGCCATCTTAGACTAAACACAGATATTTGAAGCTTCTAAAAGACATTCCGTGTTTTACTTTTAGCAGGTGTCAGACAAATGACCATATATTTACCACACTGTTTCACACCACTGTTTCACAGTGACCCTTTCAGCAGAGAACTGTAGAGCTGCTGCCACTGTTTTCCATTTCTAACAACCCATTAATTAGGCTGCCGCTCGTATTCACGATCAGCAACGTACCTGGAACTTCCAGAAAGTTAATCCCACCTAATGTAAATCAACACGCGATTGGTTGATTCCTCTGTCTCTCCGTAATTATGCTGATTATTAATCTAACATTTAAGGCCTTCAGTTCAGCTCTTGAAGTCCTAACCAATAGGAGAGCTTGCTCAGCTTTATTTACTTAGATTTACTTAGATCCCAGAGAGAAAAACAATTCCTGATTGGACAGTTTTCCACTGGGTGTTTCAAGAATTTAACGCTTTTATCCAGTGAAACAAGAGTAGTAACTGCAATACTTGTAGAGTATGAATGCAAGCATGATTCTGTTTAATAAAAAATGAATCTGATACGATCGCCTGATAACAACTATTTGAGATAATTGCGATTACTTAACCTGAAAGAAATTATTTTTCTCAGTCCTTAGATTTCACAATGATATTGCATCGCGACAAGCATAAGCCATGAGCCAAATTAATGTAAATAACAGAAAAAATCACTTCTTTCCTCTAACTATTCTAATATTAACTTAATGTTCTTTTAACTGTGTTTATATGGAATGTTTGTTAACTCGGTAGCAAGCATAGCTAATGCTAAGTTTATCCTTTTAAAGAAAAGCTTTTTTGCTCACATTTTCAGTTTCAAGAGAAAATTGTAAGCTTTGGTTGACTGTAACTGTAGACACTGTTACACACACGACAGTGCAGTGTATCATCTGTTAGCTGCAAAGTAAAAGCAAGAAAGGAAGACAGCTAATAAGCTAATTTAGCTGCTTTAGAATCTACTTTAACAGTTGCACAAAATGAACAAAACAGACCGTAAAACGCTAAACCCAGTTATTTATACGGCACTAAATCAGCTAAAATCTCATAGTGACAGGCCTACCGCTCGACCTCACTCGTTCTCTGTGCGTGTGTGTTTGTGTGTGCTAACATTTCCATTTACAGCATTTAGCAGACGCTCTTATCCACTTGTAAGTCTGCTAACACTGGGCCTCACCTTCCCCCTCTCGCTTCCAGCACTTACTGAGCCGAGACGAGCTGCTGAGGGGAATGAGACGCAGCCACACAGCCATAGTGTGAGCGAGCTAACACCGCTAGCAACCCTGATCAACCACTAGCAACTCCCTGAGCCTAACCCAGCACACCCTCACCCCCAGCGGAGAGCACACAGCGCAGAGACTGTAAGGCCCAGAGACTCGGACACCCTCCCTGCAGAGATCAAGCACAAATCTGATGGATCTGGCAACCGCATTGCCTCGTCCTGCTCATGTTTAATGTGGAGTGAAGTGTGTAATTGCAGTAGGCTTTTTTTATTTTATTTTATTTGATATTTTTTAGGAATACGTGCCATTTATGATGCGTAATGAAAGCTAGTTTTAGAATTTTAGAATAGACTTTGAACATAAAATTATTTTTAATGTGTTTATTTTCATAAACAGGGTGTTTTTGTCTCAGCGATTTGGCTGGCACATTATCTTACAGCTGGGCCAGGTTTTATTAATCTTAATGATAAAATACCTCACTTCTATAGATTCCAGCAATCAAGTAAATCCTCTAGTAATTGTTTCCCCTGTATAGATATTATTTTATTACTTTATGGACTGATGCTTTTTACAGTTTGTACATGTTTTTGTACCTATCAGTGGTAGAGAGACCAGTAAAAAGCTCTTAAGTTTATTTTATAAAGACTTTAAGTATTACTAGTAGTGCTAGTAATCCTGCACTGCCCAAGCAAACATAAAAGTACTGCCAAAAAAGGTGCACAAATCTACACATAATCATTTTCTTTCTACTACAGGTATGCTAGTTATTTATGATTGGTGCTTATTTGCGAGCACAGTGACTTATAAACCTGTGTAATACTTAAAGCGCTGCATTACCTGAACCAGGCACACCCCGGGTTTGTTGCTTTTGTTTCATACCCCTTTAAAGACTAAAATGGACTCAAAGTTGGACAGGCAGCTTAAGGGTCATAAAGGATGAGAAGGATGAGCCAAAGGTAAACTCTCCCACTCATCTCCAGAGGACACTCCCACGCAGGAGATGGACATTCTTTGCTTTTGGGAGGGTCCAGGGTTGTGACTTTACCTTAAAGCACACATATTTTGATAGGAGTCCAGAGAGGAGAAGAGAGAGCCAGCCGGAGTTTCTCTTTCCCCCAACATCAAGGAAAGACTGATACTGGTGAGTTGCACTGCAGTGGAATTGATTTTTGCACAGGGGATATTTGCCCTGGAGTTGTAAGGATAATACACGTAACAAGTGATGGATGCCACTAGCTGGCGTTGTGGCAGAGCTGGCATTGTGTTGTTAAATAATCCCACATAGTCTTGCTTATGTGGTTTCTGACACTGCACAGTGGTACTTGAAAGTTTGTGAACCCTTTCAAATTTCCTATATTTCTTCATAAATTAATTTTCCTCGATAAATAGCTGACCAATAAATGACCAAGTCAAATATTTTGTCTCGTTTGTTTAATTTGGTTCTTTTTATCTACTATCAGTGAAAATCTGATGAAGTTTTAGGCCAAATGTAGACAGAAATATAGAAAATTCTAAAGGGTTCACAAACTTTCAAGCACCACTGTATGTCATCCTGATTCTATAAGAATGCACAACGGTACAGACACATTTCAGGCTTGTGTATATCTGCTACTGCTGTTTTAGCTATGCAACATTCTTTTATCCATTTTTATATAGTACATCATACTGTGTCAAAAACCACCCATTTACTTAAAGGGGAGCTCCACGTTTTTCAAAATTTCTACATAATTATATGGTTAGGATGTAAACAGTAATTCAGGGTGGTTTGGCGTGAAATGCTCCGTTGTAGAGAACCTTACTGAGTTGTTCACAGCAGTGTGATAGGAACCAGACGTCTGAAGTCTGAGTTTAATGCCTCACAGAAAATGGTTATAAATACACTGCCGGATGCCTGAGACATTGTTTTATGATAGCTTGTGAAGATTTGGCCTAAAATGTCTTGTTAATGAATTTATTTTAATCCATCCAAGACTGCATTGTAAGACAAATAGTCCCCAAAGAAAACATATTTTTTCAGATTTCCCATTATTTTACCATCAGCAACACTATTCACAGAAACATAGGAGACACATGTAGGTTCACTGGTGGTTTTGGACAGTAAATAAAATAGCTCTAGTTGTGTTGTAGACATCGTGACCCCTGGTTCCTATCACCACCACTGTAAAGAAATTTGAGTCTGCAACTTTCTGTGCAATGAGCCATTTTACATCAAACCACTCTGAATGACTTAGTTTACATTGCAACAACAGAATTATGCAAAAATTTAGAAAGAATTGGTGGAACAACGACACATTCTGAGGAAATGTCTGGTTTAGGCATGCACTTAACACCATGCTGATTGTCATAGGCTTCCATTTGTTGTTAGCTACATTAGCCTCACAGCTCCAAGACAAAACTAAAGAAGCAAACTTGAAACACCAAACATCAGCACCACAAAAATGATCTGACCACTGTATCTAATATTTCTCATGTTGAGATTGTACGTATGTCATCTAAGCCTTTGAGTGAAATTGTCTTATTCTATTGTCAGATAATTGTGCTTGTGTTAAGCATTATTTCTTGAAATAGGCAGAATTATCTGCACTGTCTTGCAAGAAGCTAATAATTCTAATAATAGAATAAGATTTCTGTAGATAAATTAAAACAAGTAAAACATCTATAAATAAATTTATCTTATAATATTATTGCAGCAGTTTACTAATGAGAAGTATTAGATAAAGTTGTATGCAAACATTTGAACACCCCAAGGTCAAATTACATGTTTTATTGATTTAAAAAGTAAGTCAACACATCCTCCACAGGAAACTTAAATATCACATTTTATACAAATAGTGTACAAAATCTATTTGTTTGAGTTTAACATATTGGAAAAAAACAAAACATACAATATATATATATATCGCTGTTGTCAGAAGAAAACCTTGTATCTCCATTTTTGTCATTTTTCAGTTTTTGACATAATTTGAAAATACCTGTTGCCCTTGACATGGTTTGTAAATTTCATGATGAATGAAAATGAGTTATCATTTTGGAGATACAAGGTTTTCTTCCGACAACAGCGATATATATATATATATATATATATATTAGATTTTTTTGAGGGGGGGTGTGAGTGGGCAACTTATTGCTTTAGCACTTCTGTCATTTGACAGAATTGGAACTAATGTTTATTAAACTCCTTTAGTCATTTAATATAGGATGAGGTTTCAGGTATCAGGGCCACTGCAGCATATGTAGGATGGTTATGGACAGTACTTTAAATGCTATGAGTTTCTCTTGAGTAAAATCACTCCAATTATATCTTGCAGTGCATTAGAGAAACAACTCTTTAACCAGGACCAACCAAGATGAACCAAATGGAGAACCGAGCCAAAGCTAAATCCAGGATATTCAGATCCCTGTGGTCAAGTTCCAGTAACGCTTCAGCCACATCTCTGTTTAGTGACTGCATTCGTGTGGCCACATCCAGGACCCTTGAGTACCTTCTCTTCTCCGACCCAGAAAACAAGTTCCAACCAAGTCCTGCAGCCCTCTGCGAGATCTTCCTCATGACTTACATCCAGCGCAGCAACCAGCTAAACCTTACAGATACCTTGAACTACACGGTCATGACCCAGGAGCAGAGGGTCATTCTGGGGGCAGACTGGGTCTGGGCACTTCTGGACCTGCCCAGCAAAAACCCTAGAATCCAAATCGCTGTTCAGGTCCTGCATCCTCCAGAGAAAATGAAGGAGAACGTTGAGGAACGTTCCTCAGATGCCTACATGGAGGTCTTGCATATGGCTGGCATGGAGCCCAGTGAGAAAACTCAAGCTGAGAGAATGGTGGAGTTCTGCTCTGCCATTGGAAGGACCTGCTTTGCTCTTTTCCTCTTCTTCGGCCACAAGAATGACCCGGCAAACATCTATGGGCTGTTGAGCAACAATCTACACGTGGCTGTTGGGAGGTGTGTTCGAATTGACCAGGCTTTTATAGAGAATTTCTTCAGAGGGGCCAGACACTTAGCTAGTCCAGCTGGAATGTTGCAAGCGGTGCTGAATAAGGAGGATAACGACCCCCTGACCATGCTCGTCAAGTTCACCTAACGTTCTTGTTTATAATCAACAGCTACTCGCATTAATTGCAAGCGACCAAATTGATGGTTTATTAGAATGGACGACCTTAGCCTGGTTTGCTTCTGTCATCTTTATGGCAAGCAAAGACTGTGGTCAGTGCCTGGCATTCATGTATTAGCAATAGACTCTTATTAACATATAACTAGATGTGTTTCCACAGCTGGATTTGATGATGCATTGTGCATAATTTTTGCACCAACACCAGCAAATAATACCTTGTCAGTAATTGTTTGTTGCCACTGCCATTTATTTAAACATATAACTACTCTTGGAACAAAACCCTGTACCTCTAAAACGGCACCTTTACAGGGCAAGCAAAAACACGCAACTTTGAAAGGAAGTTAATGAAACTAGATTTACTTTAAAGCAGTTTTGGAGCTTTTCTATTGGTCCTTTCAACATGAAATTTTGGCACGTTATAAAGGGCAGCTGGCATTTTCAAACTCTTCAAAAAGTACAAAATGACAGCAGTGATACATTTCTGCATAAATCAATCATTACGCAACAAAACAAGGTCATTCAGAGTGTTTTAGTGTGAAGTGCTCTGTTACAAAGAAGCTTACTGAGTCAGAATTGTTCACAGTGGTGGTGATGGGAACCAGACGTCTGAAGCTTCTAAGAGCTACCTCATTAAAATGTACACTCATCGTCAAAAAAACAGTTTCACCCGCAAGGAAGTGTCACATTGCAATGCTATTCGGAAGGAAGATAACGGTTACCAGGAACAATAAATGATTAAAAATTTAGACTGATGTGGACAATATTTATTAAGATACACACAGAAGCAGTGCCTCTCAGTTTGGCGTCGGGCCGCCATGTTTGCCAGCGCAACATGCCAGACGTAGAGTTGTAGAGGTTCCTAATGGTGTCCTGTGATAATTCATCCCATGCAGCTTGAATATTCTCACCCAGTTCCTGCAGATTTTGCGGTAGGGATGGAGTGTTGATAGCACGTCCAATAGCATCCCACACATTTTTAATCGGGGATAGGTCTGGCGATGCGGCTGGCCATGGCACAGTATCTGTGTCTTCAAGGCGAGCTCTTGAGACGGCAGCAGTATGCGGACAAGCGTTGTCCTGGTCGGAGGGCCACTGGTTGCAGGACCTCGTTAACATAACGCTGGGCTGTCAAAGTGCCTGTAATGAAGACCAAAGGTGATCAGGCATTGTACGAAATTGCACCGCACACCATGAAACCAGGCCTTCTGGACATGTGATGCGTGACAACAAACCATTCATTTTGGTGCTGACCATGGAGATGTTGGTCATCTCCACCAAGACAAAAGCAGGACTTGTTACTGAAGCCGTCTGCCAATGGTGCTGGCACTAACAGAAAGACTCATGGAGGATATAACTGCTCACTGCTAACTGAATGTCCGCAATTGTGGCTGTTGGGTCACTCAGCGCATGTCAGACAGTCCGTCAGTTCTCCCTCTCTGTGGTTCCCAGAACCTTCATGTCACTGGTGCATGCCTTCTTCTATCCACTGCCGCCAACAGCATGCTATGATAATATCCGCACGACTGGTCGATAAGACCATCCCGCTTTCCAGAGCCCTGTGATGTGACCCCTCTCGAACTCTTCCAACTGCTCTAATTGCTTTTGAACTCTTCTCCGAGGCAGACTTCACTTGCGAAGGATGCTACCAAAACAACAGCACAAGTCAGAGTGGAAAGCACGCACAGCGGGGCGACCTTATATAATCAGTCAGGCCCAGCGATAAGGCCCACCCGTGCTTACATCACATGATGCACAGTTGAGCGTGAAACTTGAATCATTGAGTCTGTAAGTTTCCATATAATGGAATAAACCTTTTCACATTAAACCACTCTGAATGACTTTGTTTACATCTCAACCATTGAATCATTGAGACGTTTTGTGGAATTTCCCCGTTGTGGGATTAATAAAGGATTATCTTATCTTATCTTATCTGAATTCCACCTTAAAGGCAAGACAGTACAGGCAGAAATTATGATTTTGGTACCATCAATCATATTTCCGATCTTTGGATAAGTTGCATCCATACAATGTCTTTTCTTAAACTGTATTCAAAAATGTCAAAGCTCTACAGAAATATGTTTATTTCAACATTTTGTCCATTCATGTTCACTCTTGTCTAACTGCTTTGCTTTTATTATAACGCAGAATGTTAACAAATCGTGCATGTTTTTTTGAGATCTCACTGAGTGATGCAGTTCTGAGACTAATCTCCAAATCAGCTCGACTTCAAGAAAATTTAACATGTTGACTCTGAACCATATTCTGAAGGATATTACAGAAAGAATTACCAATATATTACTAATAGCTGGGTTTGTGCTGCTCTTTTTGTACTACACAGTGACCTACAAAACAATTTACAATAACTGTGCATAGTGTTTTCCTGATTAAACAATAAAACAATGAGAAAAGATTCTGTAAAATCCATTATTTCATCATCCATAGGCTAAAAGGATTTTGGCTTTTAAAGTTATGCAAATGTATGCATATTTAATTTTGCATATCTAAATGGTTTTTTTTTTTGGGAAAACCTCAAATACAATAAGCACTTGTATGATTATCAGTAATCAACTGGCTGAGTCAGTGAGGTTGCTTTTAAAAAATGACCCTGTTGACCTGTAGTGTCTCGCCTTAAAGATTCTTCACTCACTGTAAAGCCATATTTTGAAATGAAAGCAGCTGTGAAAGATAACAAACATTCATTTTGTTGAACTGTGATTATGTGGGAGTGAGATGCAAGAAAATAAATAATATTTTTGTGCTGACTGCTTTCGTGTTGTTTCATCCTCTCTGAAGTCTATATAATAGTGAAAGCATGTCTGGGTTAACAAGCATCATATTAAGTATGTAAAGTCTTTAAACTGTAAAGATGAAGCCTGGAAAAGTGATTCGTACAGAAAATCAGTCAAAACTAGAAGAGGAACGCTTGTGAACGAACTTTTAGCTGGCTTGACAAAACCTTTGCTATGAAATCCTAGGTGGTTGCTAGGGTGTTGCTAAGCCATTGCTATGGAATCCCAGCTGGTTGCTAAGGTGCTTCTAGGCCATTGGTATGGTATCCCAGGTAGTTGCTAAGGTGCTACTAGGCCATTGGTATGGTATCCCAGGCGGTTGCTAAGGTGTTACTAGGCCATTGTATGGTATCCCAGGTGGTTGCTAAGGTGTTATTAAGCCATTACTATGGTATCCCAGGTGGTTGGTAAGATGTTGCTAAGCCATTGCTATGGTATCCCCAATAGTTGGTAAGGTGTTGCTAGGCCTTTGCTGTGTTATCCCAGGTGGTTGCTAAGGTGTTACTAGGCCATTGGTGTGGTATCCCAGGTGGTTGTTAAGGTGTTGCTAGGCCATTGGTATCGTATCCCAAGTGGTTGCTAAGATGTTGCTTGCCCATTGCTATGGTATCTCCAATGGTTGATAAGGTGTTGCTAGGCCTTTGCTGTGTTATCCCAGGTGCTTGCTAAGGTGTCACTAGGTCATTGGTGTAATATCTTAGGTTGCTGCTAAGGTGTTACTAGGTCATTGCATTGGTGTGTTATCTTAGGTGGTTGCTAAGGTGATACTAGGCCATTGGTGTGGTATCCCAAGTGGTTGCTAAGCTGTTACTAGGCCATTGCTGTGGTATCCCAGGTGGTTGTTAAGGTGTTGCTGTGGCGTTGATATGGTATCCTTGGTGGTTGCTAAGGTGTTACTAGGCCGTTACTGTGGTATCCCACATGGTTGTTAAGGTGTTGCTATGCCATTGATATGATACCTTAGGCAGTTGCTAAGGTGTTGCTAGGCCATTACTATGGTATCCCAGGTGGTTGCTAATATTTATGTATATAAATATATGTGTGTGCTAGTATGTATGTGAGTCTTCATGTAATGTGTATGAAGGGCAGTGTGAGAGACGTTCTTTGTGACATCATTTGTGGACGTTAGATTTCAGCTTTCTCAACGCTCCATTTATTTCTGATGGGAAAAAAACGTGTTTGAACGAATGCTGTGTAAAAACTGCAGCCCTTGAAAACAGTTAAAAAATGTAGAATAATAAAACAAAGCAAAGTTAATTGGCTCTGTCAAGCCAACGTAATTACACCAAATGTTTTCATTTCAGTGCGTGTGCTCAACAATATCAACAATAAGATCTCCAACACAGTACATTCTACTCTGAACACTGAATTTAGCTAAATTACTACACATTACATTTGTGCTTTATATGAACACATCTGATGGTCTTAGTATGCAAAAATGTTTTCTTCTTTGTAGCCCAGCTTAGTGAGGTTAGGCAGGCAGGCGTTCTGGATCATGGGGGGCGGGCCACACAGCACAATCAGCACGTCATTGGCTGGAGGGGGAAGGTGCTCTTTTATCATTGCGGCGTCAACGAATCCTGTGCTGTATTTCCAGCCTGTTGAAAGAGGAGAGTTGTCTGACTATTTCACAGATAAGAATCTGCATGAGGAATCTCATGTGATCATAGACATTTTTAAATGAAATATTTTGCCAAAAGCAATACTGATTATACAACACACTGTACATTATAACAAACACGAATACAGTACAAAGTAACAAAACTTACTTCTATAGCCACTATTATATCAAAATCTTGTATTGCTTTTCTTACAGCTTTAGAAAATTCCTGCTGCCCTTTACACTGTATGAAGATTTTTTGACAAATGGACCAACGGATGTGGTCCAAAATGGTCCAGAATAAAACTCATTACATCGTTGTGCATTAACAGGCCCACTTATAATGTTTGTATGATGTTGTTTTATGTCTCAAAAACAGGTCTAATTCATTTTTAAATTACTATTTTTCAACCCTCCTTAATCTGTTAGGATAAAAAAGTTTGGGACTGTGCATTAGAGACTGATATATGTAAATGAGCACTGTTCTGACTGGCTGCCTTCTGGGCTGAAGCACTCCAGTGTGGGTGGGTGTGGCTAAACTGCTGTATAGCTGGATAAAGGTAGATATGTTATGAAATGTGTTGTGTTTCGTGACCTCACAAAAACAATGAACTCAAAACAGCTGTTTGAGCAGCCAAGCCTCCATGGACTGCGGAGTGAATAGCATGTTTTAAAAGTTTTTGACATTTATCAAACTTTTTTGTTGAAAAACAAAAAGGAACATTCAGTTTTCCCTGATATGGGCCCTTAAAAGGACAAAGTATGTTACCTTGTGGTGGTTTGTCCAGTGTGTACCACAGGTTGAGTTTATCAGGGTGGTTCTTCAGAACCTCATCGAGCTCCTTCCTTAGCAAAATATCCTTCTCGGTCTGTGAACAGAGTTTAATGTCTGTAAATAAAGCCTTTGTTTTAATACTGGAATAATGGTGGTCATTTAAAACTCTGGCCTGTCATAGTATGTGTCTCTGAAGGTGTCAAAGTAAACATTTGTCAGTGAGAGTTTACTTACTGTCCAGCTATAGACATAGTCTATTATAGTAGATCTATACTATGACGTCATTTCAAGTATAACTTACCTGGTTAGCGAAAATAAGGGAGCACTTGGTGTTATCTGTAGGATCTGCTGTTATACAGCGGATGAGCTGCAACATTGGTGTAACGCCTGCAAACAGGACACATGATGGACAACATGAATGCCAAGAGACAGTTCCTGAATGAGTATGCATGGATAGTTCATTTATATATGTATTCACCTGTGCCACCTGCGATCATGCCCACGTGTCTGAACTTCCGCACCCTGGCATCGGACTTTTTATCAGGCCGAATAGCAAACTGACCTTTCAGAAGATTTCAAAACACATTGAACGCATTTAATACACAACATAAAGCAATTCCCAGCATATTACGCTGACCTCATTATGAAATCTACTGCAATTAGGTATCATTACAGTTTCAAACGTTAATACATGCTGCCCTCTAGTGGTTATGTATAGTACTGCCTTCTTTAAAAACGTTCATTCTCTTTGTAACATAAGCTGTGAAGTCATGCTGCAATTTAAATATGCTTGTCTTTAAAAGAAAGATCATTTGCAAAATCATTCTGAGTTCTTTACTCATTGATCTGAACTGTCTTACCGTTTCCGTTGTACACCAGCAGGCCGTTTGGCCCTCGGAAGTCAATGGTGTCGCCAATCTTCATGTCGTTCAGGTACTGGGACATCTTGCCGCCCTCAGGGTAGTTTGGGTGGGTGTTTTTGAAATAGACCTGGTGAGAAGAAGTACAGTGTATGTCATTCTGAGGGAAGCTCACAGAAGACAAGTTTAATTGCAGTCATACTTGAGTAAAGTACAAATTTCCAAAAACAAAACTTAAGTAGGCCTATAGTAGTGAATTACAGTAACACTGTAAAATTATGCAATGTTTCAGCTTTAAAAAGAAAGTAACCTGGTTACCTTAAAATACTGAGTTCAATAAACTTTAAATTATAGGTTAACAGAAAGTGAAACACAGATTATTGTTCTGTTAACTTACTATTAGAAGTCCAATGTTCCAAATCGTCAGGCAACCAGCTCACTAACTTTATGTATTGAAAACACTGCATCATTTTTACAGTGTACTTAAGTACATTTAACCCTTGTTAACTGAACACTGAGAAGCTGTTCACACTTTCGTTTTCAGTTATCTCATGTCCAAAATGTCCTCTGGGCAGTAGTAGAACTGACCACTGCCACTGCAGGACAAAGCCTAACAGAAATGAATGTGTTGATGTGTTTTTTACACGGGAAAGTCAAATCAGATCTGATGTGGACACACTGAGGATGCATTTTAGTGTAAATGAAGAATAAATTAAATCGGCCAAAGTAAATCAAGATAAAATCCTGACCTGAAACACATGTTAGTGCAGTGTACAAACAAGCTGTAATTGACAGATGATGCAGTGTTTCTCACTTTCACTACTAGTTCCACAAAGCCCTGGTCCTCGTCACTGGAGACTGGCGTGTAGGCCCGGATCACTAAATTCCCATTGACTTTAGCAGACAGGTACACATGCTGACCTGTGGAAATACAGGAGATTGCAATATGGTTATAAACGCAGTGGTACCGTGTATGAGATAAGGGTGTAGATAAGAGTTCATACCGACTGGAAGACCAAGCACATGAGCAGAGGAGGGGAGGCCGAAGCGGAATCTCTTAGTGTCATGCGTAATTTCCTGTCACAACAGCAAATGAAAGTACAGAGTTAAACAGAAGTTCTGCTCTAATCACCTGATACAGAAATATTTATTTTCCATATAGTGGAACTGAAACACCCAACAATGTGTTTGTGTTTTTGTGATTTTGTCAGTTCATTTTTATTTAATTCAATTTAATTTTTTTCTTTGAGGGCCTTTTTGGGCCTTTTTTACTTTCCTTGCCCATTCTCTTTTTTTATTTGTTCACAATGATTTTGGTCACACTGAGCTTTCTTTATTTTATCTTATTGTAAACAAGAGTTATATGCAACAGTTTGGCCCTCCCTGGTCAAATGACATGTTTTGTTGATTTTCTGAAAAAAAGATCAACACATTGATAAATGGAGTCACATGTTTTTCTTTAAACAGCAATGATATACACTCACCAAGCACCACATCAACCATCAGAATGGGGAAAAAATGTGATTTTGTAATTTTATGATTCAGTGATTTTGACCGTGGCATGATTGTTGGTGCCAGACGAGCTGGTTTGAGTATTTCTATAACTGCTGATCTCCTGGGATTTTCACACACAATAAGGTCAACAGAGAATGGCCAGACTGGTTTGAGTTGACAGAAAGGCTATGACAGATAACCACTCTGAGCAGAAAAGCATCTCAGAAAGTCCAACACATCAAACTTTTAGGCAGATGGGCTACAACAGCAGAAGAGCATGTTGGGTTGCTTCTGTCAACCAAGAACAGAAAGCTGTGGCTGCAGTGGGCACAGACTCACCAAAACTGGACAGCTGAAGACTGGAAAGACATAGACTGATGAATCTCGATTTCGATGGGAGGATCAGAATTTGGCGCTAACAGCATGAATCCATGAACCCAACCTGCCTTGTGTCAACAGTCCAGGCTGGTGGAGGTGGTGTAATGGTGTGAGGAATGTTTTCTTGCCACACTTTGGGCTCATTAATACGAATCAATCATTGCTTGAATGCCACAGCCTATTAGAGTATTGTTGCTGACCATGTGCATCCCTTCATGAACACTATTTACCATCTTCTAATGGCTATCTCCAGCATGATAATGCACCATGTCACAAAGCAAAAGTCTCAAACGGTTTTCATTAACAACGCAGTGAGTTCAGTGTTCTTCAGTGGCCTTTCTAGTCACCGGATCTGAATCCAACAGAACACCTTTGAGATGTGGTAGAGCAGGAGAGTCACAGCATTAAAGTGCACCTGAAAGATCTGCAGGAACTGCATGATACAATCATGTCAACATGGAACAGAACATAAAGGAAAGTTTTCAACATCTTATGGAATCCATGCATCTAAGAGTTGAGGCTGTTTTGGGAACAAAGGGAGGTTTTACCCAGTATTAGTCTAGTGTTCCTAATAAAGTACTCAGTGAGTCTATAAGTGTGTTCTCTGTAGAGGACATGTTCACATATTTTCACTCAGAAAATCAACAAGACATGCAATTTGACTGGGGAAGTTCAAAGTCTTGCATACGACTATATATCAGAAATGCAACAACAGTCCAGTAACACTGAAAGCTGTCATCAGTTTGCTATGTGACTGACTGACCTCCTTCTCCACGAGTGGCAGCGGGTATTTAACAGTAGTGTCCTGCAGGGTTCTGGGGAATTTGCTCTGTTTCTTTCTCCCGCTGGAGGATCCTGATTTCAGGAGGAAGAAGAGTGCAGTGGCTAACACTGCTAACAGTCCAATCACCACCGGCAGCGTCTGAAACAGATGTACATCCAATTACATGTAAATACGTTTAGGCATTCCCTCATCTGCACACCTCATGCTGCAATGTATACGCTTATGCATGAAATATTGTGTATATTATTGCATGCATAATGAGGGCAAAGTTTCCGTTTTCTTGCATTAAATAGATAACTATTCAAATCAGAATCAATTTTTAAGAAATCATTTGAAGGAAAGAAATGATACAGAGTGACACAGAGTGTCACATGGAAACCGAACTGGAATAAAACATTTAGAGAGAAAAGGAAAAACACTTTCATTTTTATTTTCAGTGTAACCATGTTACCATGATGCTACACTGTATATATATTATATATATACATATATATATATATATATTCATTGTCCATTTTATCAGCTCCACTCACCATGTAGGTGCACTTTGTAGTTCTACAATTACAGACTGTAGTCCATCTGTTTCTCTGCATACTTTGCTATCCCCCTGTTCTGTTTACCCTGTTCTTCAATGGTCACCACCACAGAGCAGGTGTTATTTGGGTGGTGGATCACTCTCAGCACTGCAGTGACACTAACGGTGGTGGTGTGTTAGTGTGTGTTGTGCTGGTACGAATGGATCAGACACAGCAGTGCTGCTGGAGTTTTTAAACCCCCGTCCACTCACTGTCCACTCTATTAGACACTCCTACCTTCTACCTTGTTGGTCCTCCTTGTAGGTGTAACATTAAAAATGATAGCTTATCTGTTCATCTGTTACTGCAGAGTTCGTGTTAGTCATTCTCTAGTCCTTCATCAGTGGCCATTGTCTGGTCGCAGGACGCTGTTGGCTGGATATTTTTTGATTGGTGGACTGTTCTCAGTCCAGCAGTGACAACGAGGTGTTTAAAAACTCCAGCAGCACTGCTGTGTCTTATCCACTCGTACCAGTGCAGCACACACTAACACACCACCCACATCAGTGTCACTGCAGTGCTGAGAATGATCCACCACCCAAATAATACCTGCTCTGTGAGGGTCCATGGGGGTCCTGACCACTGAAGAACAGGGTAAAAGGGGGCTAACAAAGTATGCAGAGAAACAGATGGACTACAGTCTGTAACTGTAGAACTACAATGTGAACCTCTATAGTAAGAGGAGCTGATAAAATGGACAAAGCATGTAGACACAAGGAGTTGCTTTTAATGTTGTGGCTGGTCTCTTGTTCTCCTCAGAACTTAGGCTTACTTTCATTGGAGGACTTCATAAGCAGTTCTTACAAAATAAAACAATGACAAAACAACATTAAGAGTGTTTTGAGCTGTTAAAGTGTGTGTGTGATCTTTAGGATCCCAAACAGTTCATGAGGAGCATACAAATCCACAGCATTGTGCATGAGAGCAGATATGAGCAGTAATTAGTGAAAACTGGAGCTACTGTCTGCGCTTGTCTGTGTCACCTTTGCTCAGCTGTAATCACTGCACCGTAACCAAGAGGGAAAAGTGAGAAACGACAGTGCAAAAAAACCGAGGGAGCAATAACTTTTCACACTGGAGGAGAAAAACGAAAGAAGAAAATAAAAGACAACAGCAGATGAAAGACAGAAGGAATGTGTAAGTAAATGGAGAAGAGAGAAGATTCCCTCTTACCAGAATCTGCTCCATGCTGTCCTCTCTGAACGGGGCAGTGTGCACGTTCACTTCGTCTCTCTCCGCGTTCAGACCTTTGCACTGAAGCCACTTCAAACGGGGAGAGCGGGGAGTAGAACGGGCGGGGTCAACAAGGCTCACCCAATCAGAATACGCAGATCGTAAAGATCGATCGATGCGAACGCTGCTGTCACCGACGCCAGCCAATGAGAAGCGATTATTCAAATGAGCAGGCTGTGAGGGAGCTGTGCCTATAGCGGTGAGTGGAATCACCCCACTGCCTCATGCAATAGTGAAGCAGGCGGAGTAACACAGGGGGGAATTTAAGGAGGAGATAGACTTCTGGAGGATTTGAAAAGAAGAAGAAAAGTTATATATTTTTTAATTTTTGTTGTAAAAAACTTTTAATACTTGTTTAATAAACTTCTGAAGTTCTAATAATAGCAGTAATAAAAGGTTCACTTTTTAAAAACAACAGGAGACCTGAACAACCTTCTCAGTTGGCAAATATTGGTTGGACCGACTGTGAATATCCACTGTGCAGTAATTTACAGCCAAAAATTTGTTCAAAACTACAGCTGAATGCAAAAGTTTGGGCACCTTCCTTCCACTTTGGGCACATCTTCTCCAGAGAACACTCTTCTGTACATTGCAATGCACAATAACTGTTTACTGGTTGAATTGAACATATTGGAAACAAAAATAAAACATAAAATGTGGCTTGTGTGAGTTTTTTTTTCTCCAATATGCTAAACTCTGTAAATAGATCAGTTGGGCACCCAGGTCTGTTCCCTGTAAAGGATGTGTCAACTTATTTTCACTTAGAAAAACAAAAAACGTTATTTGTCCAGGGGTGCCCAAACTTTTGATACATGCCTAATAGTACTCGTCACCTTTTCATAGATCTCTTTCTCATTGTAACACTGATAGGCCTCTAACGGTCATCAGTTATCACTGGTTAATCTAGAGTGATTTGTATTCAATAGTTTATATTAATTGTAAAATCCTAATATGCAAAACTCTGTAAATAGATAAATTGGGCACACAGGTTTGTTCCCTGTAAAGGATGTGACAACTTATTCTCACTTAAAAAACAAAACACGTTATTTGTCCAGGGGTGCCCAAACTTTTGCATAAAACTGTATTTGTCTGGGCAGTATGTGTGTACTTTCCCTGGGGGGCTTCTTCCCCCAAGTTACCCTTCACTGTTAGAAATAAAGGTTCTGTGCAGGTACATTTTTTGTTCATTAAGCTACAAACAGTGTAAATGTTCCCTCAAAGGTACAACAGTGGATTTAAGGTCCAGTTGTGCACCTTAAATAAGTTTTTTTCCAGGTGAAAAGTATGTATTTGTACCTTTTCATAACCTGATCTTTCAAAACAGAACAATAAAATAAAAAGCCTGAAAATATTATTTCAATGGATTATGGTACAGTTATGTTCCCTGACTAAAGGTGCTGAGATGTACCCTTGAAGGTACCACCCCAGTGATAGTTTCGTACCTTTGTTCTGAGACTGTACATATCATGTTCATCTTCTGGATCTTTTGAAGCCTGGGTATCTTCACAAGAGAGTTCAAATGCTTTACATGAGCTGATAATCATACAATAAATTAGGGCACTATGTGTGTATTTGTTGCAGTACATTGTACAAGATTGTAATACATTTAAGCAAACATTAATAATGTTAATTATTAACTTAATTTAAAGCTTATTAAAATTATTTTAAGGTATGTTGTGAGACAGTAAGAAGAACGCAGGTGTGCTCCTCTTTCACCCGTGCAGCTAAAATCAAGTAAGGAAAATGATATCATTGTCATCCCATTCTCTATTCATATTGCTCATGTTGTGTTGTTGTTTGCTATCCGGAGTCGACCAGAGGAAGATGGCTTCCCTTTTAAGTCTTGGTTCCTCTCAAGGTTCCTCCTGTTGCTCTGAGGGAGTTGTCTTGGTGCTGTTGCTCCTGGCTTGTTCATTTGGGACTCAGACCCGGATTTTCTTTAAAGCTGCTTTGTGACCTCAGCTGTTGTAACAAAAGCTGTATAAATTACTCTTGACTTACTATTAAAACAGGCTTTTTTGCCTCATGTCTCAGGGTGGGGGGGGGATTTCTTATCCTAAAGGTCTTCACCTTTTCACTTCCAAAGAAGATTTTTTCTTCTCAACATCAAAAATATTACTTTCCACTAAATCCTGTTAAATTATGTATTTTTAACAGCATTTTGTGTACAACTTAATACAAATGCATAGATCACTATCATTCTATAACAAAACAACAGATCACCTGACCATAAAGATGTTGTCAGAGGAATAAACCACAGGAATGAAGTGATCCAGATGAAATGTCAGAAGAATTAGACCATTGCTTTTCTGTAAATGTGTGAAGATTAAATTTGGCCCCATCATTTGATCAGGAGAGAAAATAAGATGGGGCATCTTTCCCTGGTGGGCTTCCTACCCCAAGTTACCCCACACTGTTAGAAATAAAGGTTCTGTGCAGGTACATTTTTGGTTCATTAAGCTACAAACAACGTAAATGTTCCCTCAAAGGTACAACAGTGGTTTTAAGGTCCAGTTGTGAACCTTAAATAAGTTTGTCCAGGTGAAAATTTCATATTTGTACTTTTTCATAATCTAATGTTTTAAAACAGAACAATAAAATAAAAGCCTGGAGACGAGACGGGGTGTGTGGAGTCAGTACAGCTTAGAAAATATCATTTCAGTGAATTATGGTACAGTTATGTTCCCTGACTAAAGGTACTGAGATGTACCCTTGAGGGTACCACCCCAGTGACAAAAGGGGTCCTGCCCCCGTTACAGTTTCATACCTTTATTTCTGAAAGTGTACATATCACGCTCACCTTTTGGATCTTTTGAAGCCAGGGTGCCTTCACAGGAGCATTCAAGTGCTTTACATGAGCTGAGTAACACACGATAAATTAGAACAATCTGTTCTTTCCCTGCAGATCAATCATGTCTAAATATATAACCCAAACTTTCTCATCTTCCTCCAGTTATCTGCTGCTTCCATTCATTATACAGATTAGCTGTGTTCATTTAAACTGAGCTCTCTCCAGCAGCCTGGTTGAAGATGCCTGTACTGACTGAGTGCCATCTGCATGTTGTGTGGTATGTAATCTATCTGTGACACACAAGTGTGGAAATGTAATCGAGGTGTAAAACTGAATTAAACATGCAAACCTGTGTCCAATCTCTGAGATGTTAACTGGGCATGGAGCCATACCAGCTGAGGCCCAGCCCTCAGGAGAGATACGGACCAGCAGTTCAGACACATAGTCCTTAAATTAGATACTAACAATTCTTCACAGAAACAAACGATACTATGTGTTCCAGCGCTTCAGTTCAGTTCTCTGTGTACAAATGAATGGGAAAATAAACCGTGCAGTAAATACACAGCATATTTTTCCATGTGTGTGCTGAGATTTGAGAGTTTCTCCTGCAGCTGTAGTGAGATAGAGGATTTATTTGACTCCCGTCAGAACACAGATTCAACACCTGCAGTCAGAGTTTCTCCTAAATGATGATTATCACTGGCTACACTGCATAACAGAGGTTTAACCCCTTAAATCCCAGACTTTTTACATACTAAGCCTTGTTATTTAGTAATTACAGGGACTTTAACACACACTTGTTGAGCTATTCCTAGGTTATAGATGTGTATAATAAAACTTTGGGCCTGCAAGGGGGCCCTGGCCATTTAAGGGGTTAATAATGCACAGAGAGATTAGAAAAACATGACGCATGGCTTATGAAGGTGCAAGGCTATTTCTTTAAAGCGATTCAGACAAATGTATCATTTTCCCCATTAGCCAAGACATGTTTGGTGTCTGAGGTTTGCTTCTTCAGTTTTCTCCTGGTGCCACGAGACCTGGTAGCTAACAAGTAATGGAAGCTTGTAGTCCTGTGCAAAAGTTTTGGCACCCCCAGTCAAATTCCGTTTTGTTGATTTGAAGTGAAAATAAGTTAACAGATCCTCTACAGGCAAAAAAAAACCCCACATAAATATTGCATTTCCTGCTCATTTTAGTGCACAATTTCTATTTGCTTAGTTAAGCATATTGGGAAATAAACAGTAATTGTGCAGTAAAATGTGCAGATCTCTACAGAGAACATCTTCACTTGGAAAATTAACAGAACATGTTGTTTGACTGGGCATGCCCAAACATTTGCATGTGATTGTATGTACACCAGATAACATTGTGCAAACTGCATGCTTAAATCATCACACACAAGCAGACTTGTGCAAACAGACTTGCTTTCATGGTTTCTGAGACTGGATGACAGTTCTGAACCCTATTTTTAAACCCTTGTGTAAAATGTAATTATTTTATAACTAAAGTTTAGGGAGAGGAACATGCCTGAAACTCCTCCTTCTTCCAGCCTAAGACCCTATAAATCCACACCCTCACTTTCCGTTACCCTGACGAAGTGTTTGCAATTCCCACCGCCACCCCATCTCATTAGCACTCCTCAGTCCTGCATCAGTCCTACTACAGCTATGAGGGGGGTCCGGCCTTCTAGCTACAGGCAGAAGCTGCCCAGACCTCCATTCCAAGTTCTCAGAGTTTTCCCCCCTCCCTCAATCAGACTTCTCTCATATTACCGCCACATGTTGAAGGCATGATCTGAACAAAATCCACTTATTATGTAGTAACTAGTATAAATTATTCAGTTATTTTTAAAGTACTATAAATGGGTTAAGCAGTTATGAAATTTGGGAATAGTGCAGGGTCACATACAGGTAAAACACGCAGATATTTTACATTGCAGGTAAAATGCAACCAAGAACCTGGTTGTCATTTCCAAGTGCTGCCACTAGAGTGCAGCATGACTGCATGCATTCCAATGTGCTGCACTGTGGGGTCTCTCGTGGCCTGGGTGCAGTTCCCACACACAGAGGAGGATCCCCAGAGGTTCCCCACCATGCTGGCCTGCTCTGTCTCATATCTAGCACACAGCATGGTGGAATGGCACTGCCCACATTCTGAACGATTCAGCAGAGACCATTCAAGGGAGAGAACGTTAAAGAGTGATCATACATCCTAATGTATTAGCACAGTCATAGACTGCCAATAAGCTTTCGCTCATTGGCCAAAGACCATCCACTATCACTGTATAAAGTCCATATCTACCCCCCACACACAGGCAGATACAGCACTGCGCAGAAGCACCAGAGCACATATAAAAAAAAATTATTTATTTTGGCAGTAATTGTGTTTTTGCTTGTGAAAAAATATGATATAACATTAGAATGCATGCAAACAAACACTAATACAGTCCCCTTGATGCCCCCAGCCATCACACACATTTCTTCAGATCAGC